GTCAAAAGCCGACCCGACCCGAAATTCCGACCCTAACCCTAACCCGTCTGAACCCGAAAAAAATGGTGACCCGAACCCGACCTGAAACCAACCCTAGACCCGAGTATTTGAGTCCCGAACCCGACCATGACTCGACCTAGAGAGGACCCGACCCGAATGTGACCCGTAAATTATTGACCTGAACCGAACCCGACTCGAACCCGAGAATGACCCAAACCCGATTTAACCCGTCAAAACCCGAATTAACCCGTCAAAACCCGAAATCAACCCGACCTGTTACTAACCCGACCCGAGGTCAACCCGACCCGTTCCTAACCCGACTCGAATTTAAACCCGACCTGTTACAAACCCGACCCGAAATCAACCCGACTTGTTATTGACCCGACCCAAATTCAACCTGACTTGTTATTGACCCGACCCAATTCAACCCGACTTCTTATTGACCTGACCCGAATTTAAACTCGACATATTACTAACCCGAAATTTAGGATTTAGGAGTTTTTAAGGATAAAAAGAGTACTCCGTATTGACTACTGAGTTTCATGCTTTTTTTCAATTTATTAACATATATGGATTCCAATTATGAAACAAAAGTGGCCTTTCTCATCTTACTTGACTTAACTCTTACATAATCCTCGTCAAAGAAAAACTGAACCGGACAACAGCCAAAAAAAAATAAAAATAAAGGTTGCACTCTTATGGCAAGATTGACGAAATTTTCCACCATGAAATCTCTATTGTGATTGATTTTATTTTTCCTAATTATCTTCAACTTCCTGTATGAGCAATGAGCTATATGAGGACATGAGGTGATAGAGTATTAGAGTAGAGTTGTGACTCTCTGAGTTGTCAATGTTTTTTAAACGTATTTGAGGCAATATGAGGTGAGTGAGGTGAATCGGTGATAGTGATTTTGTCTTTTTTTTTTTGAAAGATAGTGGTTTTGTCTAATTAAATCAACCAAATGTATTTTTTTTTTCTAAAATTATCTTATAAATAAACTTTTTTTTTTTGAATAGCAAAAACATTTCATTAATTAAAAGTCATACGACATCTACAAACAATAGAGATTCGACGTTAACAAATACATAAGATTATAACCCGTAAATAAACTTCCATATAACTACTTACTACCTCCGTTAATAGTTATCTGCAACTTTGGAATATTTTATATCTCACAAATAATACCCCAAAGTTGCAGATAACCATTAACGGAGGTAGTATATTTTTTTTTTTCAAATTTTAGTATTCACTTGTTTATTTTAATATTTTTTTAAATGTTTTAAATTATGCAATTTGATTTGGAGCTTTAAAAAAAAAATTTAAAAATTTTATTGACTTGAACCGAACCCGACTCGAACCCGAGAATGGCCCGACTTGATTATAACCCGCAAATTATTGAGTTGAACCGAACCCGACTCGAATCCGATAATGACCTGACCTGATTATAACCCATAAATAATTGACTTGAACCGAACCCGACTCGAACCCGAACAGGACCCTAACTCGTTTAAACCCGTAAAAACCCGAATGTAACCCGACCTGTTTTTCTCCCGACCCGAATGTAACCCGACCTTTTATTGACCCGACTCAAACCCGATAAGATGTATGACCCGACTCAAGCATGACCCAACCCGAACCCGACCCGCATAGGTCCCGACATTAACCTGTACTGACCCGACCCATATTAACCCGACTTATACCCGACCCATTTATCCGAATTGACAGCTCTATGCAAGCTGTAAATAAACATTTAATAAATTCATGTATTGGCATTAATCATGGAATTAAATTACATATCAATTTGTGTGATAAAAAAGTTAACCCAAAGGCAAATGCGTATTTCTTTTCTTTTTAAATTCATGTATATGGAAGAAAAAGAGATTTTTTTCTGATGCTCCCTAATAAATGTAGTACCAATTACCATTACACCAATAATCAATTAATATTAATTAATTATTTTGCCTTGTCTATATTGTGTACGTACTGTCCCGACCCTTTCTTAAGACCAAAAACGTAACTTATATTCAGGAATGCTAAACACTGTTAAAACCCAATTGAATGGCTTCAATTACCCGAAGATCCACAAAGAAAACCCCTCATATATACAAAGTATAAAGTAAAAACCAATTTCAAGAAATTAAAACTCAAGAATTGAACCTAATTAAACATCAACAAATTACCAGGATTCATCAGGTTTTTGGATATTGATGATTAATCAAAACAGCTAATTTCGATAATTAAATTAGTATAATGGATTTAACCACAACTTTAACAATTTTAGAAATATAATGTTACAACCAATTATAATTGGAAATTAAGAGCAAAATTCTTAACTAGTCTTTTATAGTATTATTTATACATAGGGAAAGATCGACAAACTAATTTTGTAAAATATTTGGTTCAAGATCCTTGCACTACTATGTATTACATTTTTTTTTTAATAATCCTACAAGATTTATTAATTTTTGCATTGGATCTTCGAACATAGTCGGCTGTAATGTCAATATCCTCGAACCGCCTGAGTATGATCCGCACTTGAGGATGGCACATCCCAGTCGGACAGTAGGTAGCATTATTGTTGGTGCCGAAGTCGTCCTTTTTAAGGTGAAAGACGGCGGTTCCGATGGTCTGTTTGAGAGTAGAATAGATTTCTACGGTGAAGTTGAACTCAGGGTAATGCAATTACTAATCCACTTCCCGTCAATCCGGCCTCTAACGTAGGTTTCTAAACTGAACTTAAATAATTAGAGCTAAATTGAATAAAAATTAAGTAAATGTGAACAGACCCTTAGTAAGAAAAATCTTTCCAAAAAAGAAATAAGTAAAATAGGAAGATAATCTTTGGAACTATTAGCGGGGAAGGATAGGTTTTTGGTTTTAGAGAGAAGGAGGAGAATTTTCTAGTACTTCTAATATCTCTTTTCAAGTGATAAATTTACATGTCAAGGTCTTGAAGTTGTGACTTGACTTGTGAGTTGCAATAAAAGATACTTGGTACTAGGGGTGAGCAAAAAATCGGGATACCCTGAATCGGAATCGAAATCTGTACAAGAGGTTCCGGTTTTTGGTAGAAAACTGGAGAACCTGTTGTACATGTTCCATTTCGGGTTCTCATTTTCTTGGAACCGGAACCTGTAGGGTACCCTTTACCTGATAAAAGTATCACTTAATTTCAAATTATACACTAATTCTTACTCAATTTTTAAATAATAAATATCAAAATTACAATTTTAAATATATATATATTTTAAATTTGTTAGACAACTACTATTAGTTTGTCTTATTTGCACGTTGCAAACATTATAAACTAGTGACCAACCAGTTTTTAATTAAAAAGTCCGCGAAAAAGTTAGTGAGTATATAATACAGGGTACCCTGAATCGGAACCGGAACCTACATCCGGTTCCCAATTTTGAGGAACATGTTGCAATAGATTCCGATTTTGGTTCCTAAAATTTTTACAGGGTACCCTGTTTTGCTCACCCTTACTGTATTTCCTATTAAGAGGATTTGTCTGTAGAGTATCGTTGTGTTCATAAATCTTTTGGAAAACTTTAAATGTATTGTGTAACCTAATTCGTTCTTTCTCCCCACCATACTTTTGTGAATTATTCTCTATTATTGTTGGTTCCTATTATTCTCTTTAATAATAAAAGTTCAAGCATACATCAGGAATCTGATGCTATAAAAAATATAATATATATTTTTTTGGGTGCTAGTAGTTGTAAGAATTTGAAAATTTGCAACCAAGCAAAGTAGAATATACCCTGGCCTTGATCGTTTAGGTTCACCTAAATTTTAAGTTAACTAGCCTTCTGGTCTGTACAATGCACGGATTGTTTATAGGTATGTAACACAATTTTTAATTTTATAATACTCGTATATTTTTTATTGGAAAATTAATAGTTATAAAGAAGAATAAGGGGTGAAAATTGAATGTAATTATAGAAAATATTAAGTTGGGGGAAAGTGAACCAAACATTCATTCATGTATTGAATTAAAGCTAGTGTATTTTTTTTAATATGAGAAAGATTTAATGAAATGACATGTGGCATTGGTGAAAAATATAATTTACATGTGGCATCATGAGGACGATGGTTTGAATTTTTAAATACTAAGTATAGATTTCAAACAATTAAACAAGACAAGCTTAGCTCGTCTTGTCAAAAAAAAAAAAAAGAAAAGACAAGCTCGTACAAATTCATTGAGATAATTTATACGCAGTATTAAGTTTGAATAGTTCAAACAAAAGCATTTTTTTCATACAATATCAAATGTATCCAAATAAGAAAATTTCAAACATAACATAATTCTAGAGAAAAAAAGAAAGATCAAACGCCCAATTTTTACTTATTTCAAGCCGGCCTACTAATTCATAAAAGATATAGGCTAAAGTATTAAGACAAATATAGATAAGGCAATAAAAGGGCTCTTAAGTTGATAAGTTCCCGTAAAAAAAAAAAAAAAGTTAATAAGTTAAGATTAATGAAAAGGTTTAAAAGATTTCGTTAGTTTGATTTACACTTGTATATATCAATGCGCAATTGCATATTAAATATACACAATTATGTATTACAAAGTATGAGTAAAAATAATTATGAAATTCAAGTAAACACTAACCATTTGCCTTTTTAAAAAAGCAAAAAAACAACGAATTTATCAAGCACATTCATTAAAAATATTCGTAAACCAAGTACTCAATAAAAAAACCTTAAACAACAACATCAACAAAGTAAACAAAGAAGATTTATTACTACTGTATGTTAAAGTAACTTCATGTACGCAGTATTGAATTGAAAAAGTGTTATCTTGCATCGAATTCTCAAGTTCTTATCTAAGGCTCACGAATATCAACCGAGTCATTTGTTGCCTTTTCCGCTCTTTCCTTCCTTCCTTCCTTTTTCGGAATCAGTTCCGTATAATCCTTGTTTTGCATCTTTTTTTTTCTTGATCACCAGAATTTAAAAGCAGTAGCAGCAGTAGTCAGTAGATAGGCATGCCTGAGGAGGACATGAAGCTTATTGGAACCATAGGATATGCCATGCCCCTCAGCAAACTCGAGACAGTAATCCAGCCTTCACTGGTTGCTCACGCTAGAGAGCGAGGAATCCATCTTATTCAAGTCCACATCGATGAGCCACTCGTTGAACAAGGCCCCTTCGACTGCCTTGTCCACAAGGTTTATGGCGATGACTGGAGTGCTCAGCTGGCTGATTTCAAAGCTAAATACCCCACGACTGTCATCATTGATTCCCTTGCTGACATTGAACAGCTCAACAACCGCGTTTCAATGCTCGAACTGGTGAACCATCTCCCTGTTTCTGTTGAACAATCAGACACTGAAGCTTATTCCATTGGAATACCTAAACAGGTAAAGATCAGACTTCGCAATTATATCAGACTGTAATTCCTTTATTATTTGGTGAAGTAAGATCAATTAGGTAAATTAGTTTCCTTAGATATCTAAACTTTAAGCTGATTATACTTTCTAAACTGTAAGCTGATTATACTTCAACAGGTGGAGATTGTAGCAAACCATGATGCACCTGAATCTTTGTTGACTATAGATGAGTTGACTTTTCCAGTCATTGCCAAACCTCTGTCTGCTAAGTCCCATGAGATGTCCCTGGTGTTTAGCTTAAACGGCTTGAAGAAAGTGAAACCACCTATCGTGCTGCAGGAGTTTGTAAACCATGGAGGGGTCCTCTTCAAGGTCTATGTGGCTGGAAACCATGTCAAGTGCGTCAAGAAGAGGTCATTGCCTGACTTTCATGCTAAATGTGAAGACCATGAGGATATCATGTCAATTTCCCAAATTTCAGGCTTTGCTGCTGGGGAAGAAGATGCATTCATAAAAGAGGTCGAAATGCCCTCCATGAAATTCATTCACAGCATGGCAAAAGGACTGAGAGAGGCTTCCAAGCTCCATCTTTTTAATTTTGACATGATTAGAGATACAAGGGAAGGTAGCAGGTATCTTATTGTTGACATCAATTACTTCCCCGGTTATGCTAAAGTGCCAGGATTTGAGACCATGTTGACTGACTTCTTTTGGGATGTTATCAACACAAGAATGAAAGTGATGCGGCTCCCACTAATCATGTGGGTAGTGGAAAAGATGAAGGAGACAAAACAGGGTGTAGCTCAGAGGCTGCAAACCTAGACAAAGATTTTTGCAAAGAAAAGAAAACTGTTTAATTGTAGCGTATAAAACCATGTAACAGGTCCTTCATTCAGGTTAACAGAACCAGAGAGTGAGAAAAAAAAAAAGGTTTTGATAATTACTATATGTGCCACAAAAACAAGTCAACTCATGTACCCCTACATCAATTAATGTCATTTCGTTTTGCAAAAATTACATTTAGTTCACTTCTGCATGTAAGCAATTTAAGGAATATTCAAGGAGAACTATGATTGATTCAGCATTTCAACACAACTGATTGGAATACACCTAAGAAGACAAATCCAAATAACACCAAAGCTAATGGTTTAAACTAAAAGGTGACCACTGACCATGAACCTATTCCTGATAGATTACAAAGGATAATAATAATAATATGGCGTGCAAAAGAACTAGTCTAGCACAAATAGGTGCATGTAGCACTTCGCAGGAGCTGCTTCTTATAACCATAAGCAAAATGTATGATGGTTGCTGTGAAACTCCAAAAAACACCTTTTAACCAGCATTGGTTATATGAATTTTATGGTTAGCTTATGATTTATATTACTTCATAATTGTTGTATACCAACAGAAAATGTTTTGGGAAGATCCAAATGAAATTTCAAATGTTTTGGGAAGATCCAAATGAAATTTTAGTACTATTTTACAATATATGGCATTTTGTGGACTTCCACATATATAAGAAAATGATTTAAATTAGTCTTCAGAGTAGAATTGTTTGCTAATTTCATAAGCAGATATAAGATTTGGAACACGGCAAAAGGATCCTCCAGCGCCTAATTGTGCCTCATTCAAGTGAGGTGGGCTAAATAAAAAATAAAATCTTTTGTGAAACAATGTTGGGTGCCTATTGGAGTGCTGATATAGAGAATAAAGGAGCTAGATAGAATCATGTTTGGTACCTAAACGCCTAGGCATGGAGATATGAAGTGTTCTTGTTTTAAAGGTTTGGCCTAATTTGATTCTTGAATGAATATAATCATGGAATTTAAGGAAATATATTAGACAAAACAGATCATGTTAGGGTTGGTGAGTGCACAACGGAAGTGAAGATGTGTTTGATTGAAAAGTATAAATTGAATTGATGATTGACAAGAAAATTAATATAAATGAACACAAGATTTTATGTAACGACGAGTAGGTGTAGTATGTAGGAAGACTTATGTATGGTATGACTTCTTGTGTTGTGTTGTATTCAATAATTGAATGCCCATTACCTATATTTCAGGACCATTACTCCCAAGTCTCACAATAATAGGAGGCTCTCCAAATATACCACGCCTTGTGAAAGGCGGGAGCCACAACCATACAGTAATTTCAAAAGAGGGCAGGCAGGGGTTACGGTTGCCATTAGCCTATTAAAAAATGCTTTCCACACTCCAAGTTAAAAAAAATTTGTTTGCCAACAAGGGTAGAAATCTAACACAGAATACAAGGAAATAAGAAGGTTGGGAGGGCAAGGGGACACTAGTATGAAGTGTTAACCTAAGAGAGTGAGGGTTCAATGTGAAAAATAATAAATGAGATAACAAAATAAAATTACATTATAAATAGATAATGATTCACTACATGATTCAAAGTAAAATTAAGTTTACACATGAAATTCACATCCCCACCAAGTTCACCATAATAGATGTCAACTTATACACTACAAAATTTTTCCATGCATGGTACATATCATAAAGCCATATACAAGTATATGCCAAACAGATATTTAAGACACAAACGACCACCACCTAGGTGGTGTCTAAACTGAAGAAGGAAGACCTGCTTCAACATCACTTCCAAAATCTGTCAAACTAGTCCTAATATACTTCGTACTTAGTAATATATTTCAAAATGTTCCATCTCTGACTTCAAGTCTAGTCCTTGTTACATAGGTTCAAACTTTGCAAGATGAACCGCTTGAATATTGATTGCACGACTAAAAAGAATAGATCATTTCTCAAACAATACTTTTCAACATTAAACAATTTATTATGAATCAGTAAATAAATTTGTTTACAAGGACTAAAACATGGAGTCTTGGTAAAAGCGACTCCTATAGTGTAATTTTTACAAATCTAGAGTCTAGAGAGATAAAATTTCATCAATCACCATAAAATCAACCTCCTAAACCTACATATGCAAAAATTAAACCAAACAATTCACCTAAACATGAAAAGTTATAATGACTATCCTTCGACGAAATGCCAGATTCCTAGTCCTCAACAAATAACAATCAATCACAAACCACAAACAATGATCATTTCGGCTCGAGTTTCGCAATTCACACATCCAAAACACAATTTATAAGCTCAAAGCATCCAGAAACAATTAGAGGCATCTATATTTCAAACAAGCAATTTCAAAAACAATTCAATACTCCAATGCCATAGAAATCAAATTCCATAAATATACACCCTAATTCAGACTTGTGCATAACATTTAGAACTTCCACATTTTATAATTCATGCAAACAATAAAAAATCACCAAAATTTCTTTCAATTTCACCCCCTACAAAAAAAGCTTTAGGAAAAAAAAAAAAACAGTTGCAATTTATCACAGGAAATTGTAAAAGAGAAGATGAAATCAATAGAAGAAAACTTTAAATTTGAGCTGAGATAGGTTCGATGAACCTCACCTGAACTCATAACAGCAGCTCCAATCAACCAAAGTACCAGTTTTTGATCGAAAAAGAGATTGAAAAGAGGGTATTTACAAACCCTAATTTTCAGTTTGCTTCTATACCTGTCACAATTAATTTGTGTGTAGGATTGATCAGCTGAAAAAGCGGAAATTTTTGTTTGGCACGGAGTGTTCTCTTCTCTTATGTTACTCGTATCTCATTTGACTTGAATGTATTAGAGCAAGTTTAGGATTTGGGGTGACATAATTATCGGTTGACTTTCCCATTGAAAATAATATCATCAAATTCTTCTTAAAAGTTATTAAAATTTGTTCAAATTTATCACTTTAGCCATAAAACTCAAATTATATTACATTCAATAATCAAATTAGGCCAAACCTTTAAAACATTAATGAACAAAGCTTGAGATGGGTCCCAATCTCAAGTTTTAAGTTGAGTTTTAGAAAAGACTCAACTTGAGATTTGCTTGAGATTTAAGAAGAAAAATGGAAAAAATCATAAACACAATTCTTAAGACTCAAGATGATGATGTCACCCCAAAGAACTAGACTTGCTCTTAGTCCGAGAACCTGACCTTATTTGAATTCATTAGACCAGGAAAATTACAGTAATAAGAGTACAAAAGTAATAACACGATGAACTACAGAGTATATGTTCTTTGACATCACATGTATCTCCATTACCAAATCATATGGTATTAAATCCTTTTCATGATAGTAAGCATGTTTATTAACGCCATAAATACCTTTTAATCAAGTAAAAGCACTGTGAGGTTTTCACAAGTAATATGAGATCGATCTTATGGATAGAAACGTTTAATTTTATTTGTTGATACAGTAACAACGTGAAGTACTTCGATCACGAATTAAGGCAACATATTATAATTAGAGACATCATATTCATTATTAGTTATATTATAGCAACAAACTACCAAAGTTTCTCAGACATAAAGCTGATCTATCTTTGTGATTAAGTCCTACTACAATTTCTTAACTTCCAACTCTAATGAGCTCAGATTAATCATGATAATTCATGACTTAATTCTACCTAAATTAAATCACGGAAAGTACAAAATACATTAAGCAAGTTTTACGTCGTTGTTACGAGGAACCACCAAGCAAGCCAATGGTTTCTTCATTTCAAGTGAAAGCCTCAAGCACTCCGAAAGATCCACGGAGGCAAGTGGGGCTGGGAACCAGTTAAATTGGTGAAGCATTCGGGCTAACCATAGATGGACGGTGGCCAAGCCCAATGCTCTTCCAGGGCATACCCTACGGCCTGATCCAAATGGTGCAAGCCTTAAATCCGAGCCCATGATCGAAACATCCTCATTGATGAACCTCATGGGGTTAAAGGCCCATGGGTCAGCCCATATGGTTGGGTCATGAGTTATGGCCCACATGTTGACCATTGCTGTTGTGCCAGCTGGAATCCTAACCTTGTCGACATGGACATCGTGGATTGCTAACCGGGCCCATGATAGCAGAGGACCCGGCGGGTGAAGCCTGAGGACCTCCTTGACTATGGCTTGAAGGAAGGGTAGATGTTGGAGATCCGAATCCTGGACTTGCCTCTGGCTGTTACCAATGCACAAGTCTAGCTCTTCTTGAGCCTTTGCTTGGACATCTTGGTGTAGCACCATTCTAGCCATGATCCATTCAAGAAGTGTGGCTACTGTGTCAGCTCCTCTAAAGATTGTTTCCTGCAAAAGTTATTATCTGATCAATTATTGACATATACTATATGGTTCTTGTGACATAACACATAATCAGCACCCCAAACATGAATCTTGTGACAAAAAAAAAAAAGAAAAAAAAAAAAGAAAAGGTTTTAATATATATGCACAAAAAGTTAATATAAAGTTAAGCACTATACAAAAGGCTCTAGAAAAGTCTAATATATGCAGCATTATTTGTTTTAAAATGGGGATAAAACATGTGTATGCCAATTCTGATAACAGAAGCTACAGAAAAAGAAAATGATGAAAAGTAACAAAGGTCAACTAGTTTCAAACTATGAACACATATCTCAACCATAATTTATTTACCAAAGATTTGGATTATAGGTAAAGTATCAGAAAATGATATACTTTGACAAAAATATACAAGAAGCATGAAAGAAAGCATATGGACACAGGACACCTGTACCATATTTTGGACAGAATGAGACCCAATGACAAATCATAAGAAAAAGAGATCAAAAGACTACCAACTTTTGATTACCTCATGATTATATGCGTTACACTTCACAAGTAAAACAAAGTTAGCATAAATGCATAATTGCATAAAGGATGGTTATCTACAACATGGTTTAGATATACTCTCTATGTCCCATATTACTAGTTTAAATTATACGCGTAATTTGATAATTATAAAGTTGAGATCTTTATCCTATCTATAATGCATACTTAATTGCAGATTCGCAGCGCATGGTCTTACCATAACCTCATATTTTATATACATAGTATGTAATTTGTTAATTACCGAGTGTGGTAAATATATATTCTTACCCATAAGACAGCCACCATATCAGAATGACTTAGTTGTTCTTCTTCAGGCAAAGATAGCAACACACTTAGGAAGTCATTTCTCCTCTTAAAGTTAACATCTTTTTCTCTAAGTTTGATGATATGACTTAGAAGTTCACTGACCCTGTAAGCTAACTTATGACATCTTCTTTTTACTCCATAGAAGTCCAAAAAACTGAAAGGAAAATATTCCTCCAGATTGAATTCAGAAATTAACTCATAACCTTCCCTCACCATCAACCCTAACTCCTTCCCTTCACTACCCAAGTTACTCCCGAAAACACTTTCCAGCATGTTCTTCAAAGAGACTCCCTGTAATATCCCTCTCAACTCCACGAATCCTCTACCCTTCATCTCCTTCAACACATTTACTGACATTGCATCAGCTAGGCATTGTCGAACCCCTTCAAGGCTCGATATTCTCCTAGGAGAGAACATGTGATTTGCCGATATCCTCCTCAGATGGCGCCAGTAGGTGCCATGAGGAGCAAACCCAATGGCTCGTTCAAACATCAGCAAACGAGCAGAGGGTTTTATGGGACGGTCTGAGAATGAAGGTGAGCATAAGATTTCCCTGGCAGTTTCAGGGTTGCTACTAATGATCACAGGTGTGGCGCCCAAACTCATTGCCATGAGCCTAGTGCAGCCCATAGAAGCTGCTATATTGGCTAGTTTACGATGGGCTAAATGACCCATTTGAGGCAATGTCCCCAACACAGGCCAACCTGATGGCCCCCTGAGTTTAGGTACCGAATTCAGGTTGTAACTTCGCCATGCAAAGCCTCCAGGGACCAACCATAAGTGTAGTAGACAATAGAGCAAGAAAGATAAGACAAGAGCAAAGAAGGTTTGTTGGGTGGTTTCAAGACAAAGGGGTAGTTTAAAGAGATAAGCCAGCATGGTGTTCATAGTGGTAGATCACTAAGCTCTTCTGAGGTAGTAGAATTGTCTGGACTTGAGACTTTTTTTGGTTGAGGATATCAGGGTTGGATGACACATATATATAGAAAAATATGATATGCTACAGTAAGTAAAATAGAGGTTAAGGTGGTTAGTTGGAGTTAAGTCTACAAATAATTTAATAAACTACAATTAGTGATTATTAGTAGTGATTGTTAGTACTATATATCACAAATATGTGGACTTAATCCTAGCTACGAGGTAAGCTACTGTATCTCACTTGTAAGTTTAGATGCTAATTAAAGAGGGATTAATAATAATTAAATCTAAGGCGAAAAGGAAATTTACCCAACTGATACCACTATAAAGAGCTTAATTATATTCTCAAAAAAGCAAGATCATGATATTAACATTGTTATTGACAAGTTAAAATGTACGGAGCAATTTAAAGTATAAAATAATCTTACGAGTTTTGAAAAGAAAGAGATTATACTATTAATTACAGAATAAAGTTGAAATGATCATCAATTATGCATCATCATTTAAATAAAGTGGACCACCAACAAACTAAATTTACTCAAACCTCCTCAAATAGTTGACATACCTCAGTTTTACTTCTACAATATTCACTTTGCACATTTGTCATTACACAACTTATTCATTGGTATCTTTAACTTAAACTATATATTATTAAAGTTGATATTATTGATATGACTACTTTCCTTGCAAATAAATAATTAACTCAGAGACAATTAAGGAATACATGAATAGTTCAAAAGATAAAATATGATACGATTAAAAAGAGGATTTATATATAAAACTATAAAAGCAATACCCCATGGCAAAGTTGAGATCATATACCTCAAACTGTGTACTCTCTCCGTCCTTAAATTACATTTTTATTTCTAGCATTTATTCCTCACATAATAGAGGAAAGTAGGAATGTAATTTAGGAACGAAGATAGTACCATTTATGTGCCACCTTTTTATCGGTTGCTGGCTTGCTGCTGATACTTGGTCCAAAACTTACAATTTTCAAATCAAAATTTACCATAATATTGTATCAACCAATTTAAAGAAATGATACACATATGTTACACTTACACGGATTGTGTAACATAAATTTGGATTCTTTAACAATATCCCATCTTATATCACACATTCTCTAGATAATTCCATATCATTAACTTTGTATGCAGTAAATTTTATGTAGAATGCAATTAGTTATTCCACAAGAAAAGATAACGGGATATAGGAAAGAGAATGAATATACAGCTACACGTGTACCTAATTGATTGGTACTGGTGCTAAAGTTTTTCTTATTACTTTTTTAGTTTCTATTCCAACTAAATAGAGACCTTTAAAACCTAAACAGTTTCTGTAAGTTGCAAAGATTAGCATATTACTACTTTCGTGCATCCAACAAGTTCCTAAATTGAACTGACGCAGAGAACAACGGACGGGAGGATGAGATTACATGCAGCATTTTCTGAGTCACTAGAAAAATTTAACCCACAATATTTTACAAGAATTTCTAATGTAATAGAGCAAGTTTTCTTCAACACAGAGCAAATATAAAAGTATTTGTGTCAATCACGTTTTACATTACCAAAACAAGCCCCACGGGGCCAGAGGTCGAGTGTGACAATGGATGTGATCCATATCCTTACGAATTTACGATAGGGTGGTTACTAGTGGTTTGCAAGGGGCAGCAAAGGTATACGCTGCACAACTGATTGAAATACCCCTAAACAAGGTGAATCCACATAACACAAAAGCTAATGGTTTAAAATAAAAGGTCACCAAAAACCTAAAACAAAAACTCATCAACTTCCATTTAAACCCTTACTTAATCATCTCCCTCACTTTCGAAATCACATTAAACTCTATTGTAATATGTTGTCAAAGCTTAACTTCACCTCGAGTCCTCGACAACATCTAATCATCTTCTTTCACCAATTGTCTTACCTAATCACAACATGCCATTGACTGATGTTCCTCCCTCAATACTTAGTGGGGATCTACCAATCACTCATTAACTAAAACTACCTTCTTTTTTCAAGTGCACCCTCATAAAGACAGTCTGATTTAGAATACGACCAAGCAAAGGCCTGCAGGATGGACATAATTTAACACTAATCCTTTTGCCTTGTCTAATCAGAAAATTTTCGATTTTAATCATGCACATGGAGTGGATTCCTATATTTGCTACAAAGAAACTTATAGGGTTAGGGGGTATGTTTACCACGCCTTATTATTTGTTGCCATTCCCATACCTCCTATGCAGCTATGCTCCCTGAGTCACTGCGGTGGCATACTATTTTAGCAACTGATTGTAAGTTTCCCTACCCTACAAATTTTGGTTTGCAACTTTTTCTCTTTAGGGGAAAACCACAATCGAACCGGGCATGTAAATTTCTAATTTGTCACTGACCACTCCCCCCAATGCTGCAATACTTCTGTTGCTCGGTAACTCAAATGCCCATGTCGATCTTCAACACTTGGACATGGGTATGTACACGTGTCACTTCATTTAGGACCATGGATATAAGAATTTTTTGGTATAAAATAGCAAATCAGACAGTTACAAGTCTCCAATAATCACTGAAGCAAATTTGTCTTGGATAATTAAAAAAATCAAACTAGACTGTAAGAAATTCTTGAAAATATAAATTAACTACATGCAAGCCAATATAAGTGCCACAAAAATAGAATCCATATACATGAATCAGAAATGTTTTCCTAAGACAAGAAAAATAATAACATCCATCTAATTTCCTCTATCCGGACATCACATGGAACCAAAAGATGATGATTTTATGCATGTAACCAACACAGATAAAACTTCAGAAACTGGAAATCATGTATTAGGATACAAGGCAAACAGCAAATCAAACCTAGATAATTAGCCAATAGTTAATATCACTTATAATGAATTCACAGGTTACAGCTAGTGAGAATCCATGCTGAAAACATACAACAAAGTTCTATATCCACTTGCTTTTGATCGTCTAGCAAGCTTCCCAAAGTAGCTTCTTAAATGGGAGTTAGAAAACTGGATGCAGAAGACGTGATAAGGAAAGATGATCTTGCATTGTAAAACACAATAGAGCCATGCAAAAAAGGTAAATTTTAAGGTGGCTATACAATCCATAGTAATTTATTTTCTAGCCATGCTTATAATTTTTGTTTAGTAGACTATGGATTACATATATAGTGTCAAATTGGTGCATAACTGCAAATCTATGCTATTTTTTGGTGTTTAGAGAGCCACAAAGGCGGGGATGAGAATCGACCCTAGGAGATCCCAGGATATCCTGGAATCGGGTGGAAATCTATGTTATTTGGACATTTTGTATTTGTGCTTCATCTCAAGTATCTAGGTCCAAAACTTGACACTTCATTTGGACAGAAAAAATTGAAAACATTCCCTAAATTGATTGAGTCGACTCTTGGATGCATACTCATGTCCTACACTTGTAGCTGAGTGATCAAATCTAGTAACATAGGTGAACACAGCTCACAATTAGTTCATAGAGCTAGAACAAAATATAAGTGAAGGGGTAAAATACTTCGCGTTTCTGGGGATACTACAGGGATTGTATAGAGAGTAGGATAATGCCTTTTGAGTCACCATTAAGAAAAAAATGAGCCTTATTTCCAAAGTAGGCTTAAGGCCAAAAAAAATATTAAAAAATTCCTGCTATACCCAATAAGTGCTTTTATCCAGAGGCTTTTTATAAGGCTTCTCCTAATGGTCGGACAAAAGTTATTCCTAAGTCGGTAAGTTTTACAAGTATAGTATAAAATAACTCGAAGCATAGCATAGGAAGGATTAAACATGAAAGTAGCAGAACATAGCAGAAATTTTACAGGCCTTTGATATACCAAAAAAAAAAATGGAAATATTAAGAAAAGTATTCTTTAGTTGGAAGACACTAAGATGAATTTCACTTTAAATACTTTAAAGTAAGAGGCACTAACGTAAGAGCAAATGACAACACGAGAGTGTGTTAATTTCCAAATAAAGGAAACTTGTTCACGACACCTAATCATAATCAACACAGATATAATTACACATGTTCGGCAAATCAAATGCTTAAACAAAGCCTGATTAATACATATTAACATTTTTTAATTACTCATAAATATGATGTGTACCCATAACAACATAATAGGTTAAACTAAGAATTATGAGACTCTTATACAAACAGTTGATCAAATAGTTAGATTACAAGCTCTATTACAGCAGGGGAAAAAAAAACTTTGTATCTCTTAGCTTGGAAACTAAGACCTGTGAGCCTAGTAAAGATTAATCTAGTGAACATTCTAAATGGTCAGTGTTATCATAGCTTATTCCACCAACTAGCAGTTTCAGGACATTTGGTGCTTCACACACTTTGGCTAGCAATATATGTCTTTCTACAAAGGTAAGAGTGTTTTATATGACCATACGGGTACACATCCAATTATCCAAGTGTTGAACACACTGTCAAAATTTTAAACATGTACATACTAGTGTATCTTTTCTAGTATCTGGAAAGGGTACGGAGACGCAACATTCATGAACGATTAACCTGATCCTAAAAGATTTTGCACATCTTTTATACATAAGTATTAAGACTTGAGTGCTAAAAGGTCCAAAATCTCATGTCAAGCCCATTTATATACCATATCAGATGACTTTTGTCAGTAACTCTATTTTGTTTAAGTTGCAAATATGCAGATCAAGAAAAAATAGGTGTCTGGGTAAATATCAAGGTGTCCATCAGAAATTTCAAAACCTCGTCAAAGTGCAAGTGTTCAACATAAATAAATGGAAAATTTGAAAAAACACAAAATAGTTAATATGACCTGAATATTATGCTAATATGGAGTATATAATACAGCGCAATTAAAAAAGGACAATGTGAGGTCCACAAGGGGAGGCGCAAAATATGCATGTATCATAAATCCATTAGTAAGAGGAAAAAGCCGAAAAAACCTTAATTTGAGAAATCAGAATATCTTATGATAGCCAAATCTGAAACACATCTGCAGCAACAGTTCCTTTACAATCTGTGGCACCAAATAGAGATGTATGGGACCTGCAAGAAAATGCAGCACATTTAAACCATGGGACCACATATAATTTGCCAATAACTAATACAAGAAAAGAAAAGACATGGGGGCACGTGGATACTTTCTCTTCCGTTAAACGGCAACATTAACACTAGAGATTATAATTAATTTACCAAAGGTGCATCATGGTAGAACATAAAAGAGCCTCACTAAACTGATTAAGTACCTGGACCGTCTTATGGTCATTGGAGGGATGTTCCAACCAGATTCATGTAAAGAATGAAAACAGAAATGTAAAATATCACAAACTTTATCGTAGACTAACAGCTGCTTGCCACTACATGCATGTTGTATCAGCTAACATATAAGGGAGCTATTTCAGCTTAACTAGGTCTCAAGTTTGAGCCCTAGAAATCAAGCAATGTAGGTTAAAATTGATTTCCTTTTAAGACTCAAATCAGGAAAAGTCAGTGTCTACTAGATTCTGAATACAAAGGGATATATATAATTTAAAAAGTGTAGTAGCCGCTTGAGAACAGTAAAAGGAAAACATGCAATAAATTACACTATATGCAAGAAAACAAAGCATCTTTATAAAAAAAATATTTATAAGGACCTTCTGGGAGTGGAAGTGGCAGCGCATCCAAGAAGAAAATCATCAAAGTGGAATGTTGTGTTAACAGTTAATTGTTTAACATATCATTGTCCAAGACAGCATCCACGCAATCATCAAATTATATATATTTTCACCAATAAAACAACAATTTCCAAATAAAAAGGTAAATAATAATAATTCAGAAGAGACTAGTGTATTTTGGCTATTATTGTGATCTGGTAAGATTTCTTACTAAAAAAGGTAAAGAGACAAACAAGAATCTGACTGTTATTTGTGCTCCACAAGTCCACATACTCAAAAAAGAAAGTCACAGGACTTTACAGAGAAAGGTTTGTGTTGATAATCCGACTGCAGTTTTAAAAAATCTTGGCATCTTGGGTGATAAAAAATGAGGAGTTTCATGAAAACAACATTAACACTATGTTTGGATATAGAGAAATGGAGGGAAAGGAAGATAAGAGAAAAGAAAGGATGCATCATTCTTTGTTTGGATACCTAATGCAAAGAGGGAATTGAGAGGATCCATTTTCCTTCCCTTTTTAGTAAAACCAAATCCCTACATTGTTGGAGAGATTTGTAAAGAAAATGAAAGGTCACCTTCTCCCTCCCCACACCTCCCCCCCCCTCTTTCCGATCCCTTCCCTCCTTTTCCTCCCCCCTCCCCCCCCCCCCTTTCCTTCCCTCCTTTTCCTCCTTCCTCCCCCCCCCCCTTTCCGATCCCTTCCCTCCTTTTCCTCCCCCCCCCCCTCTTCCCTCCACTATTGTTATCCAAGCAGAGAGTAAATACTCAATCTGTCACATATTGTGATAGTCACATAAATAGTGAAATTAGAATTTTGAACTGTGTGTCCTGCTAAGTAAGGCGGAGAACTTTTTTCGTAAAACATAACGTGCTAGTCTAAGAGCCTCTTGCACAATAATCAAAGGCATATGTTAATAAGACATTAATATGCACAGAAAAGAAATTGGCATACATAGGAAAGAGGAATAAGAAAAACGATGCACACATTAAGATTTGAACTGCTAGATAATTTTGAAACACTAGTTAACCTCTATGAAAAAAGAACAGCATCAAGGGTGTACAGTACTGCACGGCCCATAAGATAATCATGGTTTATCAGAATCCAAAACTTGAAATAGGAACTAAAGTTACACTAGAATAAAGAACAGTAATCACACCCAAAATAATTGCTAATGCCACTTCTTGTAGAAAGAATCAAATTCAAATATAAAATAATGATAAAATAGGCATAAATTTGCTAAAAGAGGAAAGGGGCTATGGTAGTGCATTTTGCCAAAAGATACCAATAAGGAACCTCTATTGCATTCTTCTGTCGTTTTCTGCAGATATGCAAAGGCAACTAATTCATTCAAGCAAATCCTAACTAGAAGATACTGATTTGCCTAACCACAACCCTATTTTTAAAATCAAAGTAGTGAATCTATTTTATTTTTATTAAATCCTCAAATTCATACAGTAAGATCTATCATAATACTTGTCACAACCAGCCTACACAATGAAGCAGCAATAACTCTGAGAAAGAACCTTATGTTATCTGTGCATGCATTTAAAAAGAAGACTTCAAAAGTAAAAGTCAATTCTTATTTCTACCAATAAATTATCATCATATAATTATTTTTTAATAGCAATTATAAAATCCCCAAAAGTTTCTGTATGAAATGGATGATATGAAATTTTAGATTTTTCACATAAAAGCTCAAAGTAAACATCTCACAAAAATATTCAATTAGATCATAAATTATAGTGTATGAGACAAATGTATGCATTTCGATTAGGGTCGTATTCTATGGTTACGATTCTACTGTAGGAAGAAAGTTGGAGTTGCGGACAGCCGGACATTGAGGAGTATTAAGACAAAATTAAAGAGAACCGATTGCGTAGGTTTGGGCATATCAGGCAGAGATCGGAAGATGCACCAGTAGGGAATATAAAGGGTTGGGATCAAGGGGACCACAGAATAGGCAGATAAAAACCAAAGTTGACTTGGATAAAAAGAGTTGACAGAAGGAAATGGAAGGAGAGTATCATGGTTGGCGAGTACCTGAGATAAATTCTTGGTTCATGTAGCTGACTATTTTTTTAGTGAAAAGCTATGATTGTTGTTGTAGATCATAATAATAAAATCTAAAAGTACATTCCTCTACTAAATGGAAATCACAAAGTAAAAAGAACAAGCTACTAAACTTCAATGCACCATCAATTCCATACATATTCACATTTTGGTGTAAAGACGTTCACTAAGATATGCTTAACACCCAAAAATTACAAATTTACAAGCATGTAACTCAACATTAATTCAGCTAGTAACAAATAAAACAGAGTAGATCTTCCATCCTCTAATTCAAAGAGTCAAAAATTCATATGATATGGAACTAGTCCAACATATTGATCAACTTATTGTGAATAATTGCATAACCAAAACCATACATCACATATAACAAGTTATTCAAATTCTCATCTGCGATACAATGGCATTTTCCTTAATGTACTGAAAGGGGAAAAAAAAAATCTTTTGAAGTCATTTTGCAATGCACCCGCGCCCACCAGTCACTCTGACTTACAGCAGGCGACCAAGGCAGAAGCAGGGCACCAACACCACCCCTCCAACGTTACACTAAAGCAGCAGCAGAGCAGGGAGTTTGGCTTATTTGATTTCACTGTGGTAACTTGGAAGAAGACAAGGAGTAGAGTAATTTAGTAATTAAGGCTCTTGCCAACTTTTGTAAGTTAGTAGTAGTATAAATAGTAGTTGTCTCTAAAGAAGTAGGCATTCAGAAAAGTGTATTGGCAAACTTGGAGAGTAATGGCCTAAAGCCATTGACGCCTCACGCAAGCTTTTAGCTTATATCACTCAAAGAATATAACTTTCCCTCTATTTACATTATTTATACGCGCATTCCGTTGCACATTTGAATATATAGGACATTTTCATTTCAGTCTTTTACCTAAGCGAAGTTCACTGCTGCAACAGATCTCTTAAAAATACAGTATAAGAGAAATTCTGCTGTGTTATCCCAAAATGTGGCCTAGATTTGAAGCTAACCTTTAGCAGATATCATTGATGAACATTACCAATTATATGTGAAGTATATGCCTTGTACTTATCTGAAATATATAAACCAAAGGCCAGGATTAGAAATTTTCCCAATTTTAGATCATGTTCTAAATCCTCCCCTACCTCTTGAGTTTTTAATAATAATCAAGCCATACAAAGGTCTGGAAGTCTGTGTTCTTCTACAGTGCTATTGCGTTCCTTGTTCTTCTATAGTGCTATTGCGTTCCCTGAACTTCAGTGAGCATTAGGTCTGCTCAATCTCCATATACGAAAATATATTTGATGGCCAACTGAAATCTACTAAATCTTACTATGAAGCAATAAACATGAGAAAAAAGGAATGAGTGATATGCTTTACTTATTTCTATTTTGCGCTGTACAAGAAGACCGCAACATTTCCACATCAAAAAATTGCTAAGTTGCTAGTGCCTATCAATTGGTCCTGTCTCCTGCTGCCTCATTAAAGTACATATGGTGCAATACTATGAATAATTAATTAACTAAAAGAAGGCAGGAGATCATAGCCACTGTTTGTCAAACAGTGGACAGGGACTGAACCTCTTAGCTATGTACATCCAAGATGCTGTCTTCAGCCAATACAGACTTTTCTAACAATTGAAGCTTATGAACAATATTCACTCAGTCTTGAGCTTATTTACTAATAAACATCTTTTGTAGTTCTGTCACAGGATAGGTCCTTAAGTTTAAATGTTTTCCTTAACAAATATTACATGCTAGTGATGCTACTCTGATTTATATCATGCCTTCTCTCAGATACAAGATCACTAACACTGTTTAGATAAAAGAAGTCACATTACATTCACAGTATACATCAAACAAACAAGTAAAAACTCAGAAAATAGGTGTACTTCTATGAGAAAATAGAACGCTAAACCGCCACTAATTTGTCTTGAAAGTGGCTAGAGAACAGAGATATGATTAAGACCAAATAGTTGTTTTACTCGAACAAGGCTTCATACAAATCAATTTAAAACGGAGAAGAATAATATCACTAGCAGCATACATCAAAATCAATACAATAATAAGCACGGACAATCAATGCAAAGATTGATCATACCAAGGAGTTGAAAGCAAAGAGATATGGTCAATGGCCAAAAGAGGACGGGTTATATAAGCAGCACCCTTTTAGAAATCAAAGAATAGCCATAAAACACTTCCATGAGAAACCATAAACATGTAAGTTTAAGATGCTAGAAAGAAAATCGTATCAAACAAATATAAGCCACAGTGAGACACATTGCACAGCTTAAAAAATGAGGAATACTTCTTATTTTTTACCACAAACATATGATATGATAGACAAGTATTAGACTGACCCTCTCAATTCAGTTGGAACAAGCAATGTGTCTTAGATTCTTCATTCCACAACTAGAGCACCCTTTAGATATTAGACTAAAGTGTATGTGAGAGGCATTTGTGGATAAAGAGAGATTAAAAAAAATTAGCTTCGTAAATTTTCTTGCAAATTGTTCCAAGTGTAGAGGGAAATGTTTCATCAAACAAAAGAAAACTAATCCACCGGATTTCTTTCTCTTCCCTCCTCTGATGTCATATATAAGTATTTCGGCTTTTCAAGTCACTCTAGATATGACAATTGCCTCAACTGATCCCAATAACGATGTTTACCACCCAATTCAACAAAATATTATTTTTCAAGACACAATTCATAAACCAAGAAAATAAATAGGTATGAAAATTCAACACAGTTCTACCAATTTTAGAACGTAAAATATTATCGATTAGCAAAATTCTGAAAGATAAACAACAAGTTAATCGGAAAAACACTTAACTTACCGTTAATGATTTGAGAAATTCCGCGAAAATTACTACACTGATGTACCTTTTTGAATTAGAAAATCGCCAGAATTTTGGAGGAAGTTTAAATTTCACCATTGTTAAAGTACTGATTTGGGATTTGAAAACAGCCATTGAAGCTAGGTCAGCCATTGTAATCCCTAATTTTTTTGCACTGGCTTTCGCTCTGAATTTTTTGGGATGTTTTGGCGCGCTTAATAACGACAAAGTGGTGAAATTTTCCAAGTATAGTACTCCTTCTGTCCCATCATTTCATTTGTGTATACCGTATTAGTTTTCATCATATTTCTTTACTTAAATAATAAAATGTTTTAGATAAGTATTAAAAAAAAGTTTTCTAAAAAAACAAAATCATAATATTAGAATAATTTTTATTAATTTTTAATTGTATAAAAATAAAGTCAAACTAATGCATTAACATGTATGCAATGGTAACAATATCATAGATTCTGGACCGTGGGACGGAGGGATCGAAGGGGTAACTTTTTAGCTTGTCGTTGGTTAATGACATGAAATTTTGCAAATTATAGTAAAAAAAAAGTTATTATTTTGCAAATTAAAACCATTTTTTAAAAAATTGCAAATTGCAGCCCAAAAGTTCTTATAAATTTGTAGGGCCATGGGTCTCTTCTTCTACATATGGAGAAGCTCTAGTGATTTGTGATCCCCGAACCCATTATTTTTAAAATATCTAAAACTTAAAAAAAAAAAAAAAAAAAAAAGGATCAAATATCCAAAAAAAATTGATCAAATCAATGGATTCTTACATTTGAATGGTCGATTTGGTGGTTATAATTAATGTTTTTTCAGGGCAAAGACAAGATGCTTGCGGTGTGTAGAGAAGACACCAAGTGGGAGCAACCTGCAAGAGGCTCGACTAAACTTAACGTGGATGAGACTTGGAGAAGCACTATAATAGCAAGAGCATGGACAATGGCTATGACCTCTGATGCAGTATGGCTAATTGGTGACTCTTAGCAAATCAAAACGAGAAAATCTAGCTGAAGTAGAGCTCTTAGCAATGAAAGGAAGAATAGAACTAGCTACCGATGAGAAGCTCAAAAAGGTCACAACTCACAATGGAGACAAATGCACAATCCCTTAAGAGCACCCTAAAGGATTTTGGCCTCTTAGGAAGCAAGGAACTCACAAACTGGCTGTAATCTTATGTAATATTAGGGAGCTTCCCAAGGGTGCCCACAAATTCGAATTTATCCATGTGCAAAGGGAGGCTAACAAGGTGGCTCACTACCTTGCTCAAATGGCAAAAGAAATGGAGGGAATAATGGTTAAGTACAACACCATTCCAAATTACACCGAGAACGCCTACGAGAATGACATGGTGGATAGCTGCACTTAATCTCAAGGTTCAAGAGATTTTGCTAATTATCTTATGTAATGATTGTCGTTGGATCATATTAGGACCTTTATCTTATTTTCTTTGCAACGGTTTTAGAGTTTGGAGCTACAACACTCACTGTTTTGAGCTCTACATGGACGGTTTATTAAATAATATTATTCTCCTTTTTTCTTTTAAAAAAAAAATAACACAGTCCGAATATTATTTTAAAACACCCTTACTATAAGCAGATTACCAAACAAGATGTTAATCTTTGCACCCAATTCATAATTAGGTGCTATTGAAGCTAATTTGCCTATTTTTAATTATAAATTTTCCTACAATAGCCTTCCTTTTCTAACAATCCTAATTTTCCTAAACTCAAAACTCCCGCCAACTTCATCCTTCACATCCCTCCAAAAACCTCAAACCCTACTCTCTCTCTCTCTCTCCCTCTCCTATTACCTCTCTCCTTCTCACACAAGTACACAACAAAAATGGCGGATGAAGAAGAAATCCACTCATCAGAAACCCTAAAACCCTCATTTCCAACGGGAAGAGTGAAGAAAATCGTGAAATTCGACAAAGACATCACCAGAATCACCTCCGAAGCTCTCTTCCTCGTCTCCGGCGCAACGGAGTTATTCCTCCATTTCCTCACCGAGAAATCCGCCGAAATCGCCGTCGAAAAGAAGCGTAAAAACATCAAGGTCGACTACCTCAGACTCGCCGTCAAGCGACACCAGCCGACTCGCGATTTTCTGCTTGATTCACTTCCGATGCCGTCTTCTCAGCCGTTGGATGAGCCTCCTGCTGATCGGACGGTTAAGAGGAAGTCTGTTCTTCCGCCTAATACTCGTCGTATTGATAGCTTCTTCTGTAAGCCTCCTCAGAATGATGATTTGAGAAATGAAGGTGAAGATCCTGATGTTGATGATGAGGAGGAGACCTAGGGTTTTGGTGTTAATTGTGGTAATTTATGTCATTTGATAGTGTTAGATTGATAAAATGTTGGTGGTTATGTGTTTGTAGATTGTTGAGACTTTCAATTCAATGATGATATCGTTTTAAATTATGTTTAATTGTTGCCAAAGTTTTTCTCTTCTTATAATTAATGGCGATTTTAATCAAGATTTTTAATGGAACAATTTCATCGGAATCGAATTGGTAAATATTACTCGTAAGCTCGAAATTCTGGAAAGGTGGAGTGATTAATCATTAGAGACTAGGTGATGATATGTGGTATGATAGGCTCCTAATTTTGTTATTTGATACTGTAATTATGTTGATTTGTAGGGTGATAACTGAGATTAATATGAGAATTTCTAGTTTGACATTTTTGCTGGCAACTGAATTCATCCAAGATGAAAATTGCAAAATGATTTGATGTTAAATAATTTTCATCATGTTGTAGTAATTTTCTGTGAGTAAAATTATATTGCTTCTGTTTATAAAGGTATAATCTCTGGTATATGACGCGTTAAATTTCCTGTTTATTTCTGCTAATTTGAGTTTATTGGGAATGTTAGTGTTTGATACATATAGTGAAATGTTTGTAGGGTAAGAGTTTGTTAAATTTCAGAGATATCATATAATTTTTGGTATTATGTGGCTTGTTCAAGTGTCACACTGTATCCAACTTTCCATGGAATTAAGTACTTAAGTACAGTGTAGAAGCTTAGTAACATAGTATGTTGTGTCGGCAGCAAATTTGTAGTGAGATTATATACTACCTCTGTTACAGGTTATGTGCAACGATTAGACATTTTCCCTCTCTGCTTTATGTCAAATCGTTGCACATAACTTGTAACGGAAGTAGTATTTGTATTGGTTGGTTGGTTGATAAGAGATTAAGAGAAAGCTCTATATTACACACACTGGTCTAGTGAAACACTACATACATTACCTCCTGACTGAATGCAGGGCACTTTACAAAGTATATATGGGCAAGCAAGAGGGGTGGTGGGGGGGATGTAGTCAGAATTTCCGACGTTATTTTTTCACAAAACTCTCAGATCTATGCTATATTACACACTTATGTATTTGCTGTAAGGGCTCTCAGATTTCAGGAGATAAGGGTCCGGAAAAGGTGGACACAACTGAAGCTGTTTCATCTCTTAGGTGAGAAGCATATTCAGATTGGGCATACATCTGCTGTCTTGGTGGTTTGAGTCCTTCCTGCATGAATGATGTGCCCAGACTCCGCGGGTTGAAGCTGTTTGATCCTGCTTGTTGTGCACCCAATGATAATCTCCTGTTTGAAGGACTTCCATTCAGGTTCCTTTTTGTAGGGGATCCATTGCTGAAACTACCATTTAAATTCCTGTTTGGGATACGTCGAGCACTGGTGCCTGGTCTGGGGCTCAATGAGAGATTATTGTGTACAGTTGCTACCTTTTTCTTTTCTAACTGAAAATTTCAAAGAAGGCTCCATGTTAATATCCAGGTGAGCATCAAATGTTGCTGTTATATCTCTTCTATATTATACTACTTCTTGTACAGTTTTGTCATCTGATTGCATCATGATTCACGTGCTCTATCACTTCCTCGTCTCTCTTCGTGTGTATGTGTGCATATATGTGGTTATTTGGGGAGTGGATATATATGGGAAATAGTTAGTGCCTTTATTTCAATCATGATCTATAGCATTGTTGCTGTCCATTTATGTTTTTGCATTTTGTGTCGATTGAAACTTACCCTCTGCCTTTGCTTCTCTTCTTCTTTTTCCTGTCGCAATGCAATATATTCTTCCAACATAGCTAGAAGAGGTGCCTGATACCACAACACAAAAGCCATAGCATGCTTGAAGTTAATAACTGAATAAAGCTTACTTTGTTATATTGTATATTTGTATTACTTTCTAGTCTCTGGATACTAATTTGAAGTACCTCCAAATCAAAAGGTGAATGAAAATTATTATAAGTGAAGCTCTTACCTCATCATATAAAAACACTTTATTTCTTTCTGCTTCCCATTCTCTGGTCAATGATATCAACATATCTATTAAAGCTGCAAGCAAGTTTTTGTGTGAGAACATGTGATCTGACTGGCAATGTTTCAAAGCTTAAGAAAATGTTTAAAACTAACGTAAATTGATTCTGATTCACGATCGAAATCCTATTAAAGATCTACCATAGTAATAATAAGTAAAAGATATAGTGATTCATTGCGTTTGATTGAGTCTTTTGCGGCAGTAAACTCCATAAATCACCATGATGGTCATTGTTATAGAACTTTTTGGGGATTATCCTGTTAAAGAGATGATGAACTTGATTCCTAATTTTTACCTGGGATCTTGATGACTGTAATCCTGGCTCGTTCTGCTCGTTTTAAATTCTTGTGAGCACCTCTGCTGACAGAATATCGGTTTTCATCCTGTAGGCAAAACATCATAACAAACAGTTAAATTTAGGGATAGGTGTTCATACATCATAAATCCATTAGACTAGTTGGATTATATTAACAATGGTTACCCTGTTATATTCTTCCAACCACCGTTCTTCATCACGTGCTAATATCCACTTATCTACCCGTTCCATTATAGCTTTCCTGCTTGAAGCTTCTTCTTGTGCTTTAGCAATCTGTTCATCCATGCTTTTTAGGAGATGGACAAGGTCGATTGTCCCTATTATCCACAATTATTATATTTGTGTTCAGTATTTCAGTAAACATCAGAAAAATTATGGAAAGTATCAAGTTTGTGCCTTATTAGGATAGAAATTTGCGAGTCATCTCATACCTGAGTCTACAAGATGTGTTATGTTTTCTATTTCAGACGGCGAAGGGATTTCCATGTGTGATCTACTGCATATTTCTTGAAGCTCAAACTGTTTTCTGTGGAATAGCTCTTTCATCTTGCTTGTCTTTAGTTCATCTAGTCTCTGTACTTCAGTCTCAGCCTTAATACAGTAAGAGTGACGTTAGACAACCTTCTGAGGTATAGGAGAAATTTTATTAATTTTTCTAGAAGAATAAGCAATTTAATCATCGACTAACCTGCTGTATGATGCTGGTGGTGAGGGTTCCAGGTTTTGTTATTTTTTCAAATGGGACTACCAATAAGTTAACAACATGGAAAAATGGTTGGCGCTCTTTTTCTGGTGTATCAATAAGCTTCCACATATCTAACAATGCTTCCCCTAAATGATGAAGCTGCAGTGACAAAGATGCTGCATTTGGTTATCACCAGAGATAATTTGGTGGTATTATCTGAATAAATCAAGTAAGCTAACATGGTTTTTTTGCAGGAGGAAAACCAACCTTCTCAATGCGTTTCTGCTTTTCTTCTTCTAGAGACTTCACAGTATCCTCGAGCTTAGCCAAAATGTTGTCACTTATATTTTTGGCTATGCCACACAACTCATTTAAGCTTGGGTGAATCTTTGTAATAGTCATCGAGGAATCCATTCCCAATAATGCAGCCAGATCATGGATTTGGTTTGTATACCTTTCCACCTTTTGGAGTCTGGTACTCTTTAAATTGAATGATGAAGAAATTAGAACTGAGATTTTAGTACATTCTGGGTTTATCTATTGCATGCTACCTCCTCTGAGCCTATATGATAGGCCACATTTCTGATTTAAGCATCCCAAAATTAAGGTAAGCTCTAAATTTTTTTCATTTTACCCTTGATGAAAGAAATTTTTGAAATACTAACTTACCCTTGATTTGGCCTATTATTTAGGGGTAGAGAGGTTTTAATTTATATTACCATATATGTAATACCTTCTCGTTTTGGAGTTTTTTTAGCTCGGCTTGGTATTCCTCAAGTCTCTTCAATGAAAGATCATTCTCATTGACCTTCATAACTGATGCAGATTCATCATATTCTGAAAGACCTGATATCTCTGCTTTAATTTTTTGTATCTGCCCTTGAACTGCTTGGAACTGGTTCATCCTTTCTCTTTTTCTTTGCCTCATCTCACTTAAGGCTGGGGTGATTGAATCTATCTGTTGTCTTAGAGTCCCTGCCTTCTTCTCCGGCTGTTGTGAAATACAGTCAGCCTTTCATAAAAGAATAACAAACGAAGCCTTATTCCCAAACTTGGGTCGGCCATTTCATCCAAGATTATAGTTCTGTTTCTACACGATTAGAGTTAACACAGGAAAAAAGCTTATTCCGATAATATAATCCTGCTAGCTAAGCTCACGATGTGTCTAATCACTTGTATTATCTCATTTATAGTAAAATTAAAAACACTGTCAATTTTGGTGTACTATTATATTCTTCTGTTGTTTATATTTACTAATATTCACTTCACTTGTGAGTCAGTCTGTTACAACATACAAGAATATCATTTTTAGTTAGTAATTGCAAGAATTCAGCTATTTTCAGTGAGCAAAGAAAATTTCCACTTAACATTCACTATCAATTCCCTATTTATTTGGTTGTTGAATATCCTGCCCAAATGATAGCTTTCTTATCATTGCATAAATTGTAATTAACTGATCTGATTCATTTATTTCAGGAGCTAATAACAGTCACAAAGACGGCCAAGGAAGAAATGAATGTACCCTTTCAGGGAGAGAGCGTTCGCCAAGTGACAGAAGAAGCTGCGTAAACTCAGACTCAGATTCAGCCAGTTCCTGATGCAGTCGTGATCTCGCCATGTTAGCATAATCAACCTTCTTTCTGTAAACCCCCAGACACTCCTGCTCAATGTCAAGTAAGACCTTCTCCCTTTCGAATTCATCTTCTCCGACTTCATCCCATATCATCTGCTCCAATTAATTCATAACATAACATGACATACAGTTACTAGTCAGAGTAAGTAAAAGTGTAACTCAAGCAAATGTAACAGCAAAAGAAACTTGCCTGCAATTCCTGAAGTAGATACCCGCATGAATTTTCGAGTAAACCCGAACTACGAACTGGTATCGGAGTCTGAATCGACCCCATCAGAGTTACACAGCTAACACCAGGGTGTTTACCTTTTGTTTAGGCACTCAAAATAGATACCAAAAAAGGTAGAAATTATGCTTCTCTGAAAAGATTGTGTGATTCTCTGATTGTAGTGTTTGGGATTTTTGCTTAAAAGAAAAGATTGAACAGAAGTAGGTGTAACTATAGCTTTGTGCTTAAGGTTAGTTCATAGTTTTATGTTCTTTTCTTCCTCTTCTTCTTTCCCTTTCTCTCTCCTATATTTTTTTTTTATCTTCCCTTTTTTACCTTCTAGGGAGGAGGTGTTGGGTGATCTTCCAGGTTGTCTCTTTCAGTTTATAATTAAATTTTTTGTACATTGAAATTTGGTATATATTATAAAGTTTAGTGTCTCTTTCCCTCAACAGCTTCCTTCTTTTTTCATATTACATGATATTATAATAATTATTATTATATGTATGTTATTATGCTGGTTGCTATGCTTTTATGCAGGTTGGAGTACTTAACTAAGCAATGAGCAACAACACATAAAAAAGAGGGATCTGCTTGAGGTACAAGCTTGACAAGTCATCAGTTCTGTCATCAAACTGCTCTTACTATCACAACTTTCTATGATTCTTACGTCGGCCTCGTTGTTATTAGGTAGTCCCCTCGTGAGGATGGTAACACTTATAATGTGAATACGGGTTATGAAATTTTGGCTTATATAGTCGACCCCATTATTGTGATTAAGGCTTCGATGTAGTTGTACAATCCAGAGATGAAGAATATTGAATTATGGCAGCAGGTTATACCAGAAGAATTTGGTAAATAATGATTGGTATTTAGTTGATTATGATATTAAAGGGAAGGTCTAAATTCGTATTGCATTATTTAAGGGCTAATATAAGATTAGTGTGGATAAGGATCCTGCGTGGTGGGTGGGATCCATATTTTGGGATAAAAGCATATGATTTGAATTTTCTTAATTGGTGGGTCATAAATAATTATTGTGTTTTTATTGTTGAGAGATATATTTTTTTTTTGTCATTTCATTTACGCAAGTATTTTTCTTCAAAAGAAACACAGTTACAATAAGGAAGGAAATATTATACGGAGTATTGTACATTTGTACCTATTTGCCAATTCCATTATCGTGGGCTGGTTACCACTTGTTAGCTCTTGACTTAAATAGAGAAGGGGCCAAGGGGTTTAAATAAGTTGGTCAATATTTTGAATTCTAGACGGGAAGTTTGAGTTCGATTCTCATTAAGTGGGTAATATCCGTATTCTTTGTACTAAAATATGAAATTAAAAATAAATTATCGGTGTAAATATCGATAATTTATTTCGTTTCTTTTGTTATTATTAATAATACTCTTTTTTTTAAGGATGTTAGAAATAAATTGCAAAAGGCGAAGAATGAAATTAAAATTGTGGTTTAGATTTTAAGTTTAAATTAATCATTTTGCCATAATTGGCAAATAGTAATTATTATTTTTTAGTGTTTAGAGAGCTACAAGAATGGGGTGAGAATCGATCTAAGATTCCTGAAATCGGAAAGGAAGCTCTAACTACTTGAGTTATCTCTCTCTCTCGAATTAATATTCCGTATTAGCTAATATGATTAACTTCCAAAGTATTGTCCAAATTCTTAGAACTAATATGAAAATTTTAAATTGAAAAATTGACATCATTGTATCAAACAATGTCGACTATATCTTAACTACTCGTACTTGACAAAGATTTTATTGACATTTTATAACAAGATCGTCAACCATGCAAGACCTACAAATTAAAGTTACTAGGCTACATTGTCAACATTTTTTTTATGCTGTCGAGATAGGGTACAAACTACAAATAATATACTACCTCCGTTAATATTTACTTGCGACTTTGGGGTATTATTTGAGAGACATAATATATTCCAAAGTTGCAAGTAAATGTAAACGGAGGTAGTAATAGAAAGATATATGAACGTTTTTATCAATAACGATATTAATTAACTTTTGCTTTGGAATTAACCTTTTCTTCTTTGTATGTAAGAATAAAACATGATTTCGGAATAACCCATCTATGTAAGATTTATATGCAATTCTCTTAAGAGCAAATCGCTACTTGAGTTTCGATTTGTCATCTACGTTACCATAAATTGCTAATTGAATTCACAAATAAAACAGAGTAATGTATAGTTAGGGAGGTCATCTAAGCCATACTTCGTATTTATCTTAGGCTATGAATTAGTTACAAATAAAAATGCTCAACAAAATTTTACAGTAAAAGGTTAATAAACTATTATGCCTAGCAAGTTTGTTTTCAACTTGCTATTGAGTTGAAAAGTTAAATTGTTCATAAAGTTGTGTCAATAATATGATATAAATATTTGATATTATGTAAATATGTAATGAGACGAACTTAAGAGCCGAATATCTTACATAATTAAAATTGAACATTTAAATAGGGTGGAAAGTCGATATGAAACCACTTAAAAATAGAGTAATTAGTAGGTAATTTGTAACAATAATCCCAACCCATCTACTCCACTTGATGAACCAAAACTTAATTATTGTGTAATTTGATTTGATTAGCTAATGAAAGTGGGTTATGATAAACTTTCTTTTTCTGGACCCCTACGGCTCCCACCAAATTACTTTAATGCAAAACTAGTGCTTCGATGATTAATACATGATAAGTCCATTCTACCTTATTATAGAAATAAATCAATAATAATAAATAATAATGTCATATTAGTCAGCTTTCAGTTATGATTAAATGTATTTTAAACAGAAGGTTATTGTACTTTAATTAGCATATCATTGAAGGCAGTGTTTGGTACAATGATTAATTTATGCCAATTGCAAAGAGTGAATCATATATTTTGGAAGTGTCTATCTTGCTTCAGTAGAGGAAGGAATAATGTAGCCGTTACATTTTGCTGTTTTCTATGGGAATCCTAAAATAAGCATTAATGAGTTGTTCTGTTATTCAAGCAAAAAGGTTTCTAGATAAGTTACGTTCATATAAGGGTTAATAAGTTTGGATAAGTAAATTAGAACATAAATGATTACTCATCAAGGTTCAATTAAAAATTACATTTCGTTCACATAGATATAATTCGATGAATATAACACACTCTAGATGGTAGGCAATAGCTACTCTGTTCGGCTAAATACAATTATTGTACACAATAATGTTAACCCTTAGTATTTGTCACACCTCAATTTTTATTTGAAATAGTTACTTTTACTTGTTAATTATTTTTTGAAATTTTTTTAAATTACCATCCAAAAATGTAACTATTTTCGAACTAACCACCCGTTTAATTTTTTATTTTGAATTACCACCGCTTAAATTAAATAAATGCTCAGATTACCACCCATTTCAAAAATCCGGTGGATTTTTCATCTGTGAGCCCCACCTAACGCTTATTTTAACCCTTTTGACTGATTTTTTTGCCCGATTTTTCTATTTAAAAATGCTCTCCTAACTTCAATTAACATTTTTCTCTTTGAAATTTGGTAGAATTTGGTGAAGGAAATTTGAATTAAAGTTTAGAGAGCACTTTTAACGAGAAAATCCAGGGAAAAAAAATCAGTCATAAGTGTTAGGTGGGGTCTACAGACAGAAAATCCACCGGATTTTTTGAAATGGGTGGTAATCTGAGCATTTATTTTATTTAAGGGGTGGTAATTTAAAATAAAAAATTAGACAGGTGGTTAGTTCGAAAATGGTTACATTTTTGGGTGGTAATTTAAAAATTAACCTTTTTTTTTTAAATTTTATTAATTTATTGTTGCATATGTTTTTCCTTACGGAGTATGAAGTTAATTATTACTGATTGACATTGTATTACATGAAGTAAAATGGATATTTTAAGTTGAAAAGAACGATACCTTTAATGTTTAATGCAATATACTTATACACTACATCCATCACATTTAGTCGTACAAATATAATCAAATTAAAGTAAAATCTTAACATGACAATTAATTCTAAACAACAGGACCTTCATCACATCTCTATGTTTTACACCCTCAATATCCTAAATATAAAAATGCAATAGCATATAGTATATGTTTATCATATAAGGATCCAAATCCAAGCAACTGAAGCAAAGTAAACTAGTAAGTGCACCACTCATTTTCTCAAGGAACTATGCTTTATTATTCTTGGTTTGAGGGTGTATTTATGAGTTTCAGTTAAATTTGAAAATTGAAACTATGAAGATTATCTTGATTATTAAAACTTGTTAAAAGGAGTCAAGATCCATATTTACAGGCAAACAAACTCATTGCACACACTTTTAGAACACATAATCCAAAAATTAAGGTTCTTGTGAGATTCATCAAGTATTCTTAAATTCATACTCCTAAATTCTTGCAACAATGAAAGAAAGAAAAATTATGAACACTAGTAGTGTATGCGTTTTACTTTTAAGAAAACTATTCATGCTCGCTTTCATTAATCTTAATGGAACGAATGAAGTATTTATTCAATATCTTTTATAAAAAGGACAAAAGTGCAAGACCCCGCTTGTTTTATGAACTACATTTCAAATTCCACAGAAGCTGTGATGTGTACAAGATTGTAGGGTGCTAAGTTGTTTTCTTTGGTTCTGCAAAATGTTAAATGCAAATATTTTCAAATTTGATCTGCTACTGTATTTAGAAATGATCAGTTCACCAGCACATTTTTCACTGGAGTCCCTTGGAAGGGTTGTGCTGTTGTGTTTTGTAAGACAAGGTATGGCCTATTGTGTGAGATGGTCACGCCAAAAACAAGTAAGCAACACAAAAAATGCACCATCATTATAAGCTCAAATCAACGATAATATTCTAGTACTTCGTACATTGTCTGTAGAAGAAGTTGATTTCCTGAGATACAAAGAGCCACCCAAGCAGCAGACAAGCCTAAACTCCACCTAATAATCTAATCTATTTCACAAAGGAAGGTCAAGAAGCTATTAGTAATAACGTGGACCTGTATCGTAAACTCGACCACCAGGGGTTGGAACTCTAGTATCAGTTCCTTGGATTCTCCCACGTCCAAATGATTCATGACGCTCTCTGTATGAATCAAACTCTACCCTGCCACCAAACTGCCGACGAGGTTCACCAGGGGCCATATCTGGTGCTCCATATCCATGAGGACCATGATGAACCTGATTCATGTCAACGGGCCCACTGTTGTTCTGGTAGGGGGTCATGCCAGCAAGCTGGTATGTCTGTAAGCGTGCCTGGGACTCTCTTTGGAGAAGTTCTTCTCTCAGAGTGGCATGCTTAGCTCGAAGTGCAGATAGTTTTTCTTGATATTGATTATTGATCTCAATGATTTTCTGAAACATCCACAAATCCAGCAGTGCATGACATAACGATAGCAATAATAGTAAAACAAAGCAAAATTTGCCATATTATATGAACCTTCCCCCCCAAAAGTTCAATTAACAGACTTAGCGACTTACAGCATGCCTTGTTTGAACAAAAACAGTAATTCTCATTTGCAAAATAAGAAGAGTAAAGGAAAGCAGATAATATCATCAAAGTGAACTCACTGGCATGGATAATAATATTTAAGTAAAGGTTTGGAAAATCTGATAATGATGTTTCCAAAGTACTAAAGTAACCGCAAAGCCGCAAAGGAATGGAAACTAAAAAGTATGTCCTTGGGGTACGCTAGAGGTTTCTTAATCCCCGCCAAGTTTTTTTGTCAGCTACAGAAGAAGTCATTAATATACTAGTATACCAATGCAGCAGTATGCTACTTCATAGTGACATCAAATAGCTCCAGTTAGCACTGTCAAAACGGTTTGACAGTTCGGTTTTGGTTCGGTTTGAAATCGGTTCGGTTTGAAATCGGGTCGGTTTGAAATCGGTTCAAATGTCTTACGGGTCGGTTTCGGTTCGGTTTAAATAATTATCGGTTCGGTTCGGTTTCGGTTTATTCTTGAACGGTTTAAATTCGGTTCGGGTTCTAAACGGTTCGGTTAGTAAACGGTTCGGTGCAAACGGGTTGCGGTTTGTTAACGGTTCGGTGTAAACGGTTTTTAACCCGGTTTAAATTCGGTTCGGGTTGTAAACGGTCCGGGTTGTAAACGGTCCGGGTAGTAAACGGTTCGGTGCAGACGGGTTGCGGTTTGATAACGGTTCGGTGTAAACGGTTTTTATCCCGGTTTAAATTCGGTTCGGGTTGTAAACGGTCCGGGTTGTAAACAGTCCGGGTAGTAAACGGTTCGGTGCAGACAGGTTGCGGTTTGTTAACGGTTCGGTGTAAACGGTTTTTATCCCGGTTCAAACAGTTTCGGTTTAGAAACGATTCGGTTCTTTTTTGGTTCAGTTTCATTTTAGTTCGGTTTATAACTGGTTCGGTTCGTTAACGGGTTCGGTTCTTCTACGATTTAACATTACTTGGATAGGTTTTATTTCAGCTTTACTAAATTACAGTTCGAGTCTGGTTTTGATTCAAAAAACCGGTTTTTTATCGAGTCGTTTGGATTTGGGCAATCAAACAGTTTTGGTTTGAAATTTTATACTACTTTCTAACTTTTTGCTAGTTAACAAGTTTTATATCAAGTCGAGACTTCATCACTTCATATTGAGGCATCATATTATATGCAAATTCTCATTAATTTTATAAATACATATCATGTTATGTATTTAGTTTAGCCATACTGATCTTACTAGTTTATTAGGAAGTAGATTATAAAAGTTTAGTGCATTAATGTATTATTGTTTTACTATCAGATTATTATCTGCTTCTTATTTGATCATTTAGTTAATTAATAATGTCATAATCATGATTTGATGAGTAATTGTGACATCGAAATTTTCAATTTGGTATTCGATACTTAATTAGTCAACAAGACTGATAATTAAGACTTGTTTATCATTATATATTTGCATAAAGTTATATATTACAAAGTAGTTTGATTTGTATAATCAAATAACACATTAATGAAGAAGAAGGTAATATTGACTCTTTCAACCGATTATACATATTAACATATAAATAACATATAACCATCTCATATTCTCATAGTTAAATATTATTAGTATAAAGGGATGAGAATCATAAGATTATTATATTTTTCTATATCCTTTATTGGTTTACCCCTAAGGCTTATGTCACTAATTACTAATTAGTAATTAGTAATTACTTAATTAGACTAACAAGTTAATAAGAAAGAGTAGCGTTTAACTTGAGTCTAATAGATCAAATACTGAAATGGTATTAGTATATTACCTAGTAGGATAGTCTAGTACACTGCTAATCTGTTATGCAACTATGCTAAATTGACAATTGCTGATATAGTCATATTAGTCAATCACTCATGTAGTCATAACTCATATCTAAATAAGTAATTTGTATTTATGTACTAATCTACTAGTCAATTATACAATTTATAAGTTTACACGATTACAAGTGTATTTGCTTATAGGTACAACTAAACTGATATAAAATAACCATATAACTAATCCGTAGTACTTCTTACTCTCTAAGATATATGACGTCATTATATTATTAAACAGTGTTCGATTTTTTATTAATCGCAACGCTAGACATTTACACGCTAACCGATTCACATTTTATAATTTAAAGAACTTAATATTTTAATGTGTGTGTTAAAAAAAATTATAAAAGCTGATATTATGAAGGCATATTTCGTTTTATCGGGATTCGAGAAATGTAATTAGTTTTTTTTTGAAGCCATGTAATTAATTAATTGTATAAAATTTCGTTTAATGTTATTAAAATAAAATTAAAAATTTTGATTTTTACAAAGTGGAAAATTGATTTCATTTTTTTGGTTGACAATTTCATCAAAATATGAAAGGTGGGAAATTTCCCTCCAAAACTAAAAGGAAAAACAAATTTTAAATTTAGAATTTAGATATTTTGGTTGTTAAATAATTAAATAATATATTGCAAAAGAGGAAAAAAAAAAAAAAAAAAAAAAAAAACAGTGGTGAAACGTGAATTGAATTAGCCTGGTTAGGTCATCTCCTCTTCATTCATCATCTTCAATTCGCCGTTTTGCTCCACATCAAACACTGATTCTTCGGTTCTTCTTCTTCATCCTCAAGCGCTGAATCCTTACTCACTCTGAAGTTCTCCAGTTCTCCATCTTCAATTCTTCCTCTCCTTCAAGCCGTCACAGCTCAAGGTAATTTTCAGTTAATTTTTTTTTTTATTTCGGTTTTTTTTTTCGATCTCGAGTTCTCCATTGTCGTTTTTTTTGTTCGATCTCCAGTTCTCCATCTTCAATTCTTCTTCTCCTTCAAGCCGTCACAGCTCCAGGTAATTTTCACTTAATTTTTTTTTGTTTTTATTTCGGTTTTTTGTTCGATCTCAATTTCTCCAAATGTAATTAGTTTTTTTTCGATTTCCAGTTCTCCATCTTCAATTCTTCTTCTCCTTCAAGCCGTCACAGCTCAAGGTAATTTTTCAGTTAATTTTTTTTTTTTTATTTCGGTTTATTTTCGATCTCGAGTTCTCTATTGTCGTTTTTTTTGTTCGATCTCCAGTTCTCCATCTTCAATTCTTCTTCTCCTTCAAGCCGTCACAGCTCCAGGTAATTTTCACTTAATTGTTTTGTTTTTGTTTTTTGTTGTTCATATAATTCCTGAACTATAGACCAGGATGGCATATACTAATCACCCTCTATTATGAATATCTAAGGGACAGTGGGAGACAAATCTTGTGGTTATAAAAGCATTAGAATTTTTGTATGGTAGGGAACCCAATAAATCATTACACTATTTCAGTTTAAACTTGCACCCATGGCAAAAGTTATGCTTGAAAAGTTTGAGGGCTATTGGGATGAATATAGTTTGATCCTTTCAATTGCTATTGTTCTTGATCCACGCTATAAGCTTGTTCGAGTGACGAAGATGTTAAAAGTGCTTTATGTTGATGAGGCATGTGTTGAAAAGGCGAAGGTAATTAAAGATGCTCTTTTGGAGTTGTACAACTTTTATTATTCTATGTCTTTCGGTGTTACATCAAGTACAATTGTTCCACCCTCCATCCCAGCTGTTATCGATAAATCAAATAGTCACTTGGATGATGACATATTCAAGGTAATCAATTTCTGTTTATTGTGGTTTACAAAATTAATAATTGTATGTTTTAATTTTTATTATTTAATAAAGCATTTTGTTTGAACTTTTCTAGTATGTTGATGATGATGATGATGAGGATGGCCCATCAAATCGGCCATCGATGGAGATTGATTCTTATTTGTGTACTCCTCGGCAACCAATTTATGAAGGGCAGAAATATGATGTTCTCAAGTATTGGGAATCTCAAATTAGTGTGTACCCCATATTAGCTGTTATGGCTAGGGATGTTTTGGCCATTCCTATTACATCGGTAGCCTCTGAGTCTTCTTTTAGCATGGGTGGTCGTATTTTAAACAAGTATAGGAGTGCGCTTTTGCCTAAGAATGTTGAGGCGTTGGTTACAACACAAAATTGGTTACGTGGTTATGATTGTGATATTGAAGAAGACGTCCTTGACATTGGTAAAGAAGTGATAGATGAAAGTTTTGCATCTAGTTAAGATATGGAATTGTGGTTCAGGCTTTTGCTAAAATGTTTTAATCTCATAGAACAAATATTAATAGTTTTAATCACATTACATTATTGATATTTTGTTCCTTATTTGTCTTGAATTATTGGTTATTATTTTTGTTGTAGTTATATAATTCTACTGTAATGAGAGTCATCAAACTAAAAAAAAGTAGTAACGATTTGCTTGACAAATATTAAGAGCATTCTCACTGGCAACACAGGAACTGATAAAAGAAAGTAGAAGTTAATAGCCCGTTTCACTTTTATCTTGACCCTGACTTGACCTTTACCCGCAACGTACTCGCCCCGCTAATGACCCGCATTGACCCGCCCAATAACCACTCCTAGTAGTAAGTGGTTTGTAAATGGTTTGATTTATAAGCGATTCGGTTCATAAACATTTTGGTTTATAAGCGGTTCGGTTTATAAACGGTTCGGTTAATAATCAGTTCGGTTTATAAACGGTTCGGTTTATAAACAGTTCGGTTTATAATCAGTTCGGTTTATAAACGGTTCGGTTTATAAACGGTTCGGTTTATAACGGTTTTTATGGCAGTTCAAACGGTTTCGGGTTAGAAACGGTTCGGTTCATTTTCGGTTCGGTTTCCTTTCAGTTCGGTTTAGATTTTGGTTCGGTTCTTAAACGGTTTAACGTTACTCGAATCGGTTCGGTTTCGGGTTCACTAAAATGCGGTTCGGGTCGGTTTTCGGTTTAAAAAAAGCGGTTTCTAAACGGTTCGGTTCTCATTCGGATCGGTTTGAATCGGTTCGGTTTCCCCGGTTCGGTTCGGTTTTTGACAGTACTAGCTCCAGTGGATGCTAACTCAAATTGCACAAGGACGATCAGAATTTTATGAAAAGCTTAGTTGTCACAAAGCAGGTCAAAAGTAACACAAAACAATTATTGTCCAAAGTTGAGCAAATGAATTCAGGGCAGAGAATTTTGCATTTAGTAGGAGAGATAAACAGAATGAAGACCAAAGATGAGCTTCCAGAAAATATGTTAGCATGTGAAGAATTCATGTTATGATAAGTTTATGCCCAATGCTCTCTTAGGTGTTCCGAACTTCTGATAAAAGAGATAAAATATTTTTGGAGTACGGAAGATAAACAGATTAAACTTCTATTAGGGCATTTAAAAAAAAAAAAAAAAACAGTTGTAAGTATGTGGTGGTCTCCATGATAACCAAAAAATATTGGCAACACACAGTGACACAGTTACTTTCTACTAAAGAACATCCAACAGACAATGACAGCAAGCGGTTACATGAATTGACATATTTTCTCAGCATTTAGCATAGCAGCAGAGTCCATAATTTCCGAGCACGTCCAATAATTATTTGGAAATATTCCAAGACTTCTTCAACCAAAAATTAAAAGGGTTCCAATAATAGGATTCCTGTGTATTATTCATATTCCATATTGATTCAGCTGCTACTCTGCTAGTGTACAGAAAGATTCAAAATAGCAAAAGTAAACTCACCTTTCTGTGTCTAGCAGTTTCAGCATCCTCTGCGTCATTCTGTTCTTTTATAAATTTCATAATATCGCTATGGAACTTTTGGTCAAGCCTTTCCAAATTCTGTGGAACTGGATTGTCTTCATATCCAACTTCCATATCTTGTTCCTGGGGGTGGACTCTTTGCTCTTGATTTGAGCTCATTTTTGTGTCTGGCATCTGATTAGGATAGAATGATCTGCCTGCATTTCCCCCTTGTCCTGGAAATGAAAAGTATAATATAGTATCAGATTTAAACAACTTGAACTTGAACCACAAAGGCAACTGATCATAACAAGGATGAACATTAGAAATACAGCTAGCGAGGTCAATTAAGAGATATTAGAAGAGAAAAGGGAAGGGAATAATAGGGGAAAAGAAATATGAAAGGCAGTAAAGGGAATCTACTTGGCCAACCAAGCATTTGATATCGAGTATTAACTTCTCTCAATCACCTATTACAAAACACGGGTTTAATGCCCAACTTGGTACTCAATATGTGAAAGCAAATCAAGCAGGCCTGAAAATTTAATGAAGCTGTGTAGGTTAAGAGATTTTTACTTAGGCAATAATTCTCTCCATTCTCAGTATCAACCTCCCAAACTTACCTAGCATGAAAGGAAAATAGTCAGATACTTGAATTTTGTGATTTATTACACAAAAAATACATGTAAAAAAAGTAACAAGCTTCCAATTATATGGTTTTCCTTTCCTAAGCACCTGGCAAATACCATATTCAATTGAGAACTTAATGTCTTAACCTACCTTTTAACTAAATTCATGTTATTGAGGACTGTCAGTAACTTAGTCATGCAATGAGCTTCAAGAAAGAGCAGGCAATGCAATATTGCCAAACAACCAGAAACTGTATCAGATACAGGAATTCACAGCTTTGTGCAGTCTTTTAATTCCTCAAAAATGGCTGACACAATTGCAAGGATGCAGTGGCAGCTTGAAAGGATACCTTTAGTACAACTTATTTTTTAATACTTATAACTACCTTCAACAATAATTCCAGATGCCCATCAATCTAGCTGTCTAACATGAGCTCAGTGGATTTATCCTGAATTTCTGACAAGACTCCTAAACAGAATACAAGGCTGAGGAGTATATATTTAAGTAATTAAGTACGGTGGTAAGGTGGTTGATATTAGTGCCATCCTGTGAGCATGTGGATATCATGTTTGGAATGCCTAATGGGAAGTCCAATTTTGTTTCAAGTGTCTTGTAGATGGGAACAAAATAGCATTGTGCACTAAGCTCTATGCATTTGCAAAATACAACATGATCACATTTAGAGAGTATTAAACCCAAGAAAATTTTTGTTTAGAGCTGGGCCCACGTACAGCAGGTACACAATTTGGTATGAGGGGTATAGATAGTAAGAAAACTAAGAATATAGGTAATGACTTAATCATACATAATAGAATGTGGTGACTCCAGATAATCACAAAGTAATTACAAGGCTTGCTAGAGGGAATAATAATTATGTGCAAAATTTTTGAGACACCTTTGGAGAGATCTTACCAAATATACTTCAAAACAGGGAAAATTTTAAATTGGATCCACCGTGTAAATAGCCAAGATGAACAAAATGGACCCAAATAACCATGGGAAGCTACTTAAGGGTCAAGGAGACTTCTATTGGATTACTATTTGAGCTGTACACTAGTGTAAGGAGGATCTCCTATGCATGACTTGTACCATATTACCGGAAAAACCAATCTATATTAGGCGTTAATTACAACCCAACCCTGTGGGTACTTGAGCAAACCAACAGTACTTCCTCCAATTTTTACTGTAATCTTTCATTGCTCCCCAAATAAATTCTCATGGATGTTAGTTATACAACTTTTGATATGAGCTAAATTTATGCTAGTGAGTGAGATTTCTGCTAATTGCTGTCATTGACTCATTTTCGTATAACATATGATAAGTCTAGATCGAAGCCAATTCCTGAAGACTCATGGGGTGATATGACTATATGAGTCTGATACTAAACATCTATGTCAAAGGAACCACAGTGGAAAGTTGCTAGGAAGTCTAGAAAATTATCTCACAATGTATTCCAAGGGTTTGAGACTAGTCCTCTCAACACAACTAGCCTTAACTAGGGCAATCAATCTTGAATCCCGCCGGAAATTATGCAAGCCAACAATAATTTCAACTCACTCATGTAGTCTATCAGTCGTAGATGTTAATGGCATGAACTACAGCTTCACTCAACTAACCAAACGGCTTCCTTACAACTTTCCACTTTCCACCAATCTCCAAAATCACTATCTTGAGCACAAACTATCGACTTCGTAGTTAGTCCAAGTATTGGCTGGTCAAATAATCATTTATCTCCTATACGGCTATACCCATGAGCAAACTACTAGTCTCATATGTGTGAAGTGTTCAAAATTGGCCCAATGAGTGGCAATTCATACTGGTCTCACAAGGGAGTATGTGTTTAAATTTTCTATGGATGAAGTCACACAAGGTGGCAATTCACCCAATGATGAATTGTCGATCTTGCAAATCCAAGATTATTGAAAGAGTGATATTACCAATATCTCATCATCAATGAAAATACATACTGTATAATCATCTCATCTCAAAATTATGTATCCCTAACTTTATTAGAGACAGAATAGGAGGTCTATGCTTAACATTTTTAAGATCCAAAATGATTCTAAGTAAGAAGTCTTACGCAAGCCAAATTTTATTTTATTTTTTTTTTAAAAAAAAAAAACAGCTGAGGTTGTTACATTTACAGATGTCTAATTGAAAAGAAAACTTAAATCAGAATTAGGTACTGGAAAATAGAAAGATTTACATATTGTTTGGATATAAGCAAATGGAGAGAAAGGGAGGGAAGGGAAAAGAAGGGGAGCAAATCCCTTTGTTTGGATAAAGAGTTGTAGGAAGGAAAGGGGGAGGGAAAGATCCACTATTCCACTTTCCCTCCCTCTCCAACTAATATTATCTCTCCAAAAATGGAGAGATTTGGAGGGAAATGGAGCTCCATGTCCTTCCTCCCTTTTCTCCTCTTTCCATCCCCTTCCTTTCTCTTCCAAGTTACTATTCAAACATATACAAGCAAGGGAAGGAAGAGAAAGGGAGGGTATAAGTGAGCTCCATTTTCCCTTCAAATCTCTCCAATTTTGGGGGGATTATGCTTATTAAAGAGAGAGATAATGGACCCTTCCCTCTTATTCTCCTTCCTTCCCCCAATCCTTTACCCAAACAAGAGAAATTGTTACCCTCCCTTTTTCTTCACTTCTGTCCTATCATTTCCTTGTATCCAAACAAGAGAAATTGTTACCCTCCCTTTTTCTTCACTTCTGTCCTATCATTTCCTTGTATCCAAACTAAGTGTTAAAGCCTTACACATAAAATTAAAACTTGCAATAAATTAGACGAAAAAAGGACCCACCAGCACTGTAGAGTTGAGGTGACATTTGCTGTGCATCTCTTTCCCACCGCCACTGACCTTCTTCTTTCTTTGAAGTATATTGACGCTCATCCTCAGTTGGAAACGAATCAGGTCTCCCGAAATAATTATTTACCATTGAATTTTGATGCATCCTCTGGTGAGACAAATTATGCATTTGAGATGAACATCAAGGAGAGATACAAGATTTTTGAATTGGTAATAAGTTAGAAACTTCAAAATGAAATGAGTAACATATTGTCTAATATTTCAATTATATAGCTTAAACATGTGCAAAGAGAGAAATGTTTTAGTACTATAATCTTCTTCAACCTATAACTACAATATTTACAAAGATTGTGTTGTTTGTCATTGACTTTGGTTTCTTTAATTTAGGTGCATCATTCATCATTTCCTAATTAAATGGATGGAACATTTATTATCAAATTTATTATCATTCATAAAGTGATCATAAAACAGGAAAATAACATGTGTTCGAGCACAGGAACACAAGAATAAACTCTTTATAAATCGACCATATAAATCTAGCACACACTCCGCCATACCAACAATCATAAGTTCATAACTACAATTCCACACGAAATTCACAATTACAATAATAAACCCACGATTTTCACAAATTCACACTAGCACAAAAACATTTTTAAAATCATCACCATTAACCAATTCAATCAACAACCATTTCACTCCTGAGCTAACCAAGTCATCAATTCGTCTAATTCGCTTAAAATCCAACCAATCATCACAGCCTACTAAAAATTTAAGGTTGCTGTCTTTCTGATTACTGCAAAAGATCAAACCAAATTCAATCTAATAAACTTAAAATTCAAAGATCCTACTTAACAATTACAAAACCCAACTCAAAAATTGAACAAATTAAGCTAAATAATCAACAATCTTATCCACCCGACCCTTAATTCCTCAACAATTTCAGAGCTCAAACTCATAACACCAACAAAGAAGTTAACAAATTTCAGAAACATGTGGGTAACATTGGGGAAAAAAAAATGAAATTTTGCAAGAAGAGAAGATACCCAACAGATATATTGGCGCTATAATCTGTGTTGCTGTTGCTAAATTCGTCGTCCACCTTCTGAGTTCAGTATTTGCTCTGAAATTACTGCAATTTGCAATTATCTCCCATTCAAAAGGGGTTTTATGAAACCCAATTGATTTTCCCAAGTTTGATAATCTTGTAATATCTCTTTCCTGTCATTTTTTAGTTATTGTGAAAACTCGTGACATGTTGCAATGTACTTCTTCCGTTTTCTTTTAAATGCAATACTTTTTTTTTTTTTTGAAAGAGTTAATCAGAATAGACAAATGAGTAACTTTATCATTTGATCGTGTTTGGAGAAAAGCTGAAAGCTCATTGTGTTTGCTGATTTTCACTAGCTGATTGTATTACCTTATTTGACTAACTTTTTTTATTAGTTTATTGTAGAAAAGTGTTTGGTAAATAGCTGATTGATTAAAGCTGGTTGATTATATGAAATGACTAATAAGCTAATTGTAAGGTAGGTAATTCATATAAGATTTTTAATTAAATGGGGTTATAAGTGTCATTTCACCATAAAAATTGAATAAGGTAATTGAAAAAGCTCCTAGAAGGAGCTTTTTGAAGAAAAAATAATAATTTAGTGGAATAAACTCTTTAAATAAGCTTCCCACCAAACACCTTGAATTAACTTATTTAATAGTCAATAAGCTAATGTTGGTCAAATAAGCTAATGTTGGTGAAATAAGTTAATTTTGCTCAAATAAGCTAGTTACCGAGCACAAATAACTTGAAAATCGAGATTAAAGAAGGGTTAGATACTACGGGTTTGTTCACCTTATTTCAGGCATAATAAGCTCAAATAAATTTAGTCCAAGAAAAATAAGTTATGATAAGGGTTATCCAAGTTCAAATATGAAAAAAGAATTTTTTTTTTTTTATGAGGTCTAATAAGTTAAGTGAAAATCAAGTGAATGAAACACACTTTTGTTCAAAAAAAAGTGAATGGAACACACCTTATATACATTTTAATATTGAATTAATATAACTTAAAATAATAAGTTCTCAGTAAATGAGCTTCACTAGTATGAATTCAAATGTATAAAAAAAAACCAAGTGAACATAACACCCCCATAGTCCACGGGTGTTGTATTTGATGTCAATAAATGCAACACACCGAAATTGGTGTTATTGGACGTAATTTTGTTTTTTCAATCACCTAAAAAGCTAAAACTACGTGTCATAATTGTTAAATATATATCTTGTAAATATATATCTATGTATATCTTATACTTAGTCAAAGGTTACTTAATTAGCTCCTTGTATTTAGGCTAGTATCACGCCTAATGAAAGGCAGTAGCTTGTATATATGCTGACCTCCATATTGTGAATGATCAAGGAAAATATTCCCAAATTCTATCATGGTATCAGACGCATAGGGTTTAATCTTCTCGCTTCCGCTTGCCCTTTGCATCAATCTCTGCCCACCGTCCTGTTCTCCATCTCTTTCTTCTCCGTTCTGTTCCTGCCATTCTCTATGGCGGAAAACAAATCCACCTTTCACCCTGCTTTCATCGTCAACAATATCCAAACATGTATCCCTATTGTTCTTGAAATGGAGAACGTCTCTTACTCTACATGGGCAGAACTTTTCAAGATTCACGCAAGAAAACATAAGGTCCTCGATCATATCATCCCTCCTTCTATGATGCTCTTATTAAAAATAAGACGTGGGAGTTGGTGCCCCGTCCTCCTGATGTGAATGTAATTCGGTCTATGTGGATTTTTACTCACAAAGTCAAATCTAACGGTGTGTTTGAGAGGCATAAAGCCCGACTTGTAGGTGATGGTAAAACTCAACAGGTGGGCATCGATTGTGGGGAGACTTTTCCCGTGGTGAAGCCGGCTACAATCCGGACTGTTCTCAGCTTATCTCTCTCAAAGGCATGGCCAATACATCAATTGGATGTCAAAAATGCCTTTCTTCACGGTGAGTTACAGGAAACTGTCTATATGCATCAACCCTTGGGTTACAGGGATCGTGACCATCCTGATTGTGTTTGCCGTTTGGATAAGTCCTTGTATGGGCTTAAGTAGGCCCCCCGAGCATGGTATAAGCGATTTTCAGATTATGTTTTGTCTCTTGGGTTTACTAACAACACAATGGATAATTCATTGTTCATTTATCGTAAGGGGTCTAATATGGCATACATTCTATTATATGTTGATGATATAATTCTCACTGCTTCTTCTGATGCTCTCCGTTGCACTTTTGTGAACCATCTTAGCTCTGAGTTTGCTATGAAGGATCTCGGCCCTCTGAATTATTTTTTGGGTATTGCTGTGACCCGGAATAAAAATGTTATGTTCTTATCTCAACGGAAATATGCCGAGGAGATAATTGAACGAGCAGGGATGTCTTCTTGTAAACCTTCTGCTACTCCGGTTGATACAAAGCCTAAGGTTAGTGCTACTTCTAGTACTACATTTGATGATCACACTCTTTATCGGAGTCTTGCAGGGGCTCTCCAGTACCTTACTTTTACTAGGCCGGATATCTCGTATGTTGTTCAGCAAGTGTGTTTGCATATGCATGATCCCAGGGTAGACCATATGTCTGCTCTAAAACGGATTATTCGGTACATTAAGGGTACATTGGATTATGGTCTACATTTATACCCATCTTCTTTCTCTACTCTGGTGTCATACACGAATGCAGATTGGGGTGGGTGCCCTGACACTCGACGGTCTACTTCGGGTTATTGTGTTTTTTTGGGTGATAATTTGGTGTCGTGGTCGTCGAAGCGACAACCCACATTGTCAAAATCTAGCTCCGAAGCAGAGTATCGTGGGGTGGCTAATGTTGTATCCGAATCCTGTTGGCTTCGAAATCTTTTATTAGAGCTACATTGTCCGATTAAAAAGGCTACTCTTGTTTATTGCGACAATGTCAGTGCTATTTATTTATCAGGGAATCCGGTACAACATCAACGGACGAAACATATTGAGATGGATATTCATTTTTTCAGGAAGAAAGTTGCTCGGGGAGAAGTTCGTGTGCTTCATGTGCCTTCTAGACATCAAATTGCAGATATTTTTACTAAGGGCCTTCCACGAGTTTTGTTTAATGATTTTAGGGACAGTCTCAACGTCCGTTGCTCTCCCGCTTCGACTGTGGGGGTGTGTTAAATATATATCTTGTAAATATATTTCTATGTATATCTTATACTTAGTCAAAGGTTGCTTAATTAGCTCCTTGTATTTAGGCTAGTATCACGCCTAATGAAAGGCAGTAGCTTGTATATATGCTGACCTCCATATTGTGAATGATCAAGGAAAATATTCCCAAATTCTATCAATAATAAGTGTAAAAACTAATTTGAGATGGAAGGAGTATCTAATTTAACCCGATTATCACTCACGAGCCATGACTAGTTTTGCTTCTGTATTTAGACAATTACACATCAGATTTGGTTCATTTTTTTTTTCAAAGAAAGCATGTCAAACTTCTACTCTAGACAAAATTTTCACTAAAATGTTTTTTGGTGTCAACAAAACAGCAAAAGGGCATACCCATTGACAGAACAAGAAGCACAAGTATATTTATCTGTATGAGAGTTTATCTTCCAATCAAAGATTCCAGGAGAAATGGTGAAGCTAGAAACATCATTCTAGCAACTAACTTGGTCTAATGGTCTTCCAAGGGAAAAAGAAATCAGCAAATCATCAAACGTCGAGCCATTGCTAATATTTTCCAAGGGTTAACAAAGAAGGTTAAATGAAGGCATGTCTTCAATGCCTAATACTTCATCCATCAGAAGTTCCTTCTCTAATTGTGCTCTCGTTAACTTAAGGACATCCTGCAACACATCATAAGAAAATCAGTATGTAGTGTGAGAGATTGAGAGGGGTAGCAACGTGGAAAAAAAGATGGTATGTCTCCTTACGTTGAACTCCATGTACGTAGCATTCTTCTCTAGCCATTGCTTATCCATAACCACAAAGGCTACGCTATAAAGCAAATCAAAGGCCCATTCATTTTCTGGATATTACAGCAGAAATTTCTAATTAGGATAAACCATGCCATTGTAATCAATTCTACAAACTCAATGAGACACGGCTCTAAATGGAAATGCTATGCATAGAGTTGGCCAGTGATCAGCTAGTGGGTGTTGAACTGTGACTGATCAACAAAGCAGCCTCTCTGATCCAATTTAGGTAGAACAGATTCATTAGAATATAAAATATCTAAATTGAGACATGCTATCCGTTATGATTCCTTATGAACCAAGTTGTTGGGATGACCTGCTGCTTAATCAGATCACCGGTCAACACAAGAGTCACGGAATAACTAAAGAAGAGAATTAATAGAGTTGTCCGAGGTGAAAAAAATCAGTTACCTGATAACATCTGCAAGAAAACAGCTCTAACAAAAGATCTCCCTTTCACTGTATTAAGAGAATGATGTAAGTAGTTAAAAACGTAAGATGAACGAAAAATGAGATTTTATCAAACTCAGGAGCAAGTAAAGCACACCAGCTTGGTTAAGGCAACATTAATTTCTAAAACATCAAACCCAAATACGAGGTAACATTAATTTCTACTTACGAGCATCTAGATCAAGCATTTGTATGAGCATAAATGTTATATTTACTCCAGCAACAGCAAAGGGATATTCCCATGTTGCACGTTTTCCATCTTGTTTCTTCACTAAATGCTGGAAAGATGTCTGCAACAACAATATAGATGATGCTGAAATTATATAGAATCAAAATAAGGAGATGAGCAGTCGGCAAAGTGGCAAAACAAAGCATATACATCTCCTATTAACATTTCTATAACTTATTAAAAATCCAAATTCCGTGTTCCAAAAAATTACTCTCATTTTTCTAAATCATTAAAATGTGAAATGATATATTCGATCTAAACATTTAATAGATATCAGACAAGGATCTTACAGAAAATGTTTTGGCAAAGAACAGCAAGTTCTCCAAAGAGATAAAGCCAGCTCCTCTGCTCAATAGTAAGATAGACAAGATCAAATCACAAAAAAGACGAAAGGGATACATATGAAAGGGCCAGAATAAGGCTGGCAAGTGAGAAACCTGAAATCTGTTGAGGGATCCCTTCCCTGCCATCCCATTTCTTTCCATTGCTCTGATATTAAACCATGGAGCTGTTGATCAGGATATGTAGCATACCACAAAGCCTTAAGAGCTTCCTGTCAATACAATATCATTTATACAGCATAGATAGAAGAACATATTACGAGAATTTAGCAGCAAGTCTCACATTTCACAACTCCATAGGGTCATAAATTGTGAGCTCTCTCATAGCATGATAAGACACAATATTTCTTACCACATAAGTATACTCTATCAATAGGTGTGTACCTGGTGGTCTGACCTTGCCGGATCAAAGTAAATCTTCATGCGATGCTTTAACCTATTAAGTCTTTGTTCCTGTTCCAAGAAAGAGCATAATCTCAACAGTCAACACCAATTTAAAGCAGAGCCTTGGTGAGCAGTTGGTAAATCCATGTCTAGCACTCTAGCATCTTGCAAAAATAACAAAGACTATCATAATATGCAAGGTACTACCAACCCCCTTCCACCTCCCTCGGACCAAAAAACAATAAATATAGGATAATAGAAAGAAGCTTCATACTCCCTCCGCCCCTTAATACAATGCCTCTTTCTCTTTATTATGTGAGGAATAAATGCTCAAAAGAGGCATTGTATTAAGGGACGGAGGGAGTACTTAGAAACAACAAACTTTTCAGAAAAATCTTGGAAAATCTGCCATGTACAAGCCTAAATAATATGCAAGATATGCTTGCCATTTTGTCAAACATATAACAGAATGGATGAATGGAGCTGATATCAACCTAATAATGTATGAAATATCTTCCCTGCCTCAGCCCAATTTTCATTTTATTTAAGAAAATCCTGCCCAATCTGCCGTATTCTTCTATGCAGTACAGATTTTACCTGCAAGGGTGTCAAGGTAATGCAAATACGTTCATAGACCCCCTTCCTCTTGAAGCAGTAACAGGTAAGGCCTTTACCTATCCATGTTGTTGTTCCGCAAGTTACATCATCTGCCCAAGAGAAGTACAACTTTACATCTTGAATTGTTTACAGCAGAATAAACACCTCTGATTAATATGCAGAGCTAATAATTTAACGAACTTTTAAATTTCAAAAACACTGTTCAAAATGTCATGTAATTTAAAGGGTCAAACTTAAGTTTTTTTACCAAATAGTTTCTTAAACCAACATTGAAAAGAAAAGTAGCACATATACATACTTGAAGTTGAGTGTGGTGGATTTCAGAATATCACACAAAGTATACACAGATATTATGTTTTATTATGCCTCAAATCCTAGGATTGAAATAGCATAGAGAAACCTTACAAGCAAATAAAAATGCAGTGCTAACCACAAAAAATCGAATGTTCATCATCACATATATTGCTATTGTGAAGCTACCAAACCAATAAAATGCCATCTCTATTAAACCATTGTTTTTTCATGCAACTTTTGCTTTATCACAGAGAGAAACAAATAAAACTCATGTGATTCCGTAGTCCATCCAAATAACAGCATACTTCTGATTTATATAACAAATGATCTCCACATTCACAGTTGATACAAAAGGGAAAATTGTGAAATCCTTCTTTCAAATCATGATTCCTATGGTAGTATGGTTTAGGGTGAAGATGAGCAAAACCACAAAGATAAATGCGCATATATAGTGACATGTCAGGAAAACTACATAAGAGCACTAGTTCATAACTAGATCGAGTTCCTAAATCATGCTTTAGTTATAGTGGTAGTGAAGGCGAAATCAGCAAATCAACAACCCACGCCAAAGTCATGCCATCATCACCAAGTTCGCCTTATTGAACTCACAAATGATTAAGGTATTAATCATGACATTCATGAGTACTCAAAACATGTTTCAAAAATCTTAATCAGCTCCTACAACTTCAAACACCAAATTTGATATAAGTGGACTTAATCTCCCAAAGTTACTACCACGTCACCTAATACGGATTTACCGATTGAACAACCACCCACTCAAATTCAACCAAGTATGCATTCCTAAGGTGACTACCAATTTAATTGAATTTACATATCTCATTTGGTTAATAGCAACAAATGTGGTACAAATCCAATAGCAATTATGCAAAATAAGGATTAAAATGCAATAAAAATGCATAACTCCTACATGAACTAGATTGATTAATCTCACAATATGATATATTGATATTGAGTGAATTCTTGTAAAAATACAATCCACTGTACTCCATAATACACAATGCCAATGCCAAGATTGCCAACCAAGCATTAAAAAACTAGCATTTCTTGCAAAATTCAACTTCTTATCTGCATCAGATTCCTCAAATTTCATACTTTAAACAACATTTTAAGTCTTTACAATGTAATACCAAATTCCATTAAAATATAATTATAATAACGGAATACAAACACCATCAAATCAACCATTGATCCTCAAATTCAAAAAAACTGCCTCATTTCACACCCAACAAAAAAACCCATCAATTACAAGATGATTAAAATTGAAAGATGAGAAATTTCCAAGAAATACCCCAGAAAAAAGAGTCATTTTTTAAATGCATTTACATTATAGAGTCAAACATAGAAGAGCAAGAAAGAAAACAATGAAATTTTAAGAGAGAGTGAGAATAGTACGAGAATTGACATTGCAGGGATTTCTATGATTGTTTCTTTGAGCGCCCATTGATTGTAATTCCAAGTAACTGAAACTCTTCAGTCGTCACTCTCTTGAGTGTCAATGAATAAATTGGTTCAATAATTTTGGTCGTCGTTTTATTAACCGGTCTAACTTCTTGATGGTTTTGTTTCATTAATACGAGTACTAAACGGAGGACTGATTATAGACTGCTGCTAAGCGATTTAAAGTAGGTCGGGTTGACTTGTACGGGATTTTAGTGTTAGCAAATCGCCTACAATAATATTTTACGATTATGAGTAATATAGATTTGTAAAAGATCATAATCATTCAATTATGTTGTAAGAAAGTATTAACTATAAGAAACACTTGATGTGTGATTTATGCGCTAGTTTTCGTTTACATTTTCATAATCTCCACTAGATTTGACCATATTTTTGAAAGAAAATAATATTACTAAATATTATTTAATACGTGCTTCTATCATTAATTCTTAAACATATACCAATTCGTTATAATATGAAATACTTATTATATATTGCTAAAGAGTTGTGTGTATGAGGATCATAATTTTAAATAAGCGAAACTAAATTACACATTTTTAGCACAAAACAAAACAAAACACTTTTCCCCTATCTATTTAATCACTTACTTCGTACTATCTAAAAACGGAGGGAGTACTTCGTAAATGACTTGGGCATGTCAGTTACTTACATACATAGTACTTGGTATTAAATAATGATTTGAGCAAGTGAGCAAGTTGATCCAAAACAACCACCACCCACCCAAAATGTATGGTATGCCAAAAACAATACAAGACTTATTATTTAATTGAAACTTGAGCTAATCCATTCAAGATTTGAAGTCAACTAAAAAGACAACAATGTGCAAGACAAATATTTAGCAGGAATCAGTGTCCCTCCAAATCAGACAAAAAGTCTAACAACACAGTTAGGGTGACATCTTAACCATTGGATTCTTATTATGCCCCATATTACCAATTTGTATATTTTTAAATTAACCGTCTTAGTTAATTAATTACTCGTAGATGTCATAGTAGATAGAGAAAAAAAAAAAAGTTAAATACTCCATCCGCTTCATAATAATTAACACATTTGGCTTCTTTTTTTTTTTTTTTTTTTTATTTTGACCTCTTTTTTTTATTATTTTGCTATTAATAAAATATTAATAATTAAGTTGTTAGATTTATCTTGATAAATGTACCACACGTATAAAAGAATATCAACTGCTTATTGCTTCTCCAACTTTGAGGAGTTTCAGCAACACTTCATGACAGTTCTTGTAGTGAAAATACTCCTTTAATCTTATTACTTAGACTACTCGGTCCTTATTATTTACCCTTTCTTCTTCATGAACATGGTCAAACTTTACTGGGATAACTAGATACAAGATGCTATATTTGTGTACTTAGAGAGTTAGAGCAGCAATTGCCGCTCCTCATGATCAACCCATCCATGTTGGCCTTAATTAGTCCCTATATTCGAAACATTCGGAGGCCTCACAGGTTAGGTGGCATAGTTATAAGGCTAGTACAGCCTCATGCCATAGATTAGTTACTCGCGTATACTAAGTTTATTACAGCTGATATCTGCTCTTACAGACACGCATATAGGCATCAGAGGGTGTTGTTTAACTCGTACTTAAGCATCAGACCTAGTGGATCAGGTCATATATTGGCCCCCTTCACCTACCTGCAAACCGCGTAACCGTATATACATGAGCAAATTATCGGATGAAATCAACAGTATTAGTTCAACATCACAAGGCACAGTCAGTTGATGGCTCTGAAACAACAAAATCTTTGTGCAGATAAATTCCAACTGTTGGTTTCAGACTTTTAGAATTGAACCTTAAATGCTTTTCTAATGTCTGCAGGAAACTTATTCTCTTTGATCACATTTTGTGTTCATCCTAACACATAAGTACATACAGACTCAATGTACTTTTAAAGACTTGTAGAAAATAAACTCATCACTATAACACTCAGATATCAGAAAATCTGATTTATATAATCAACACAGAAAGAAAGTGTTTACCAAATCACTCCTAGCTAATTCTTTCTCCTGCAGAGAGTAACGCCGTCTCCAATTGATATGAGGGCAAATTCAACTCGAGGGTCACTTGCAAGAAAGCTATTCAATTCCTTCGTATCCCTGCGAACACTTTGTCTAAAAGACTTGTTTTCCTGATCACCATCTTCGAAAAACTCAACATCCTCAGAATATGCAACGGAACCAAACCAAAGGGTGTTGTCATAGGCAATGGCTCCTCCAACTTTGACAAGTTTCAACAACACTTCATGGTAGTTCTTGTAGTTTTTCTTATCAGCATCCACAAATGCGAAATCAAATGTCCCTTCTTTACCCTGCATATATATTTAGATACATCTTTGAATTTGTTCACATTCTTAAATTATTTAAAATAAGATGAAATGATTTCCGATTCTAAAAATGGGATCATACATTGTTTAGGAGATCATTCAAGATTTGCACAGCAGTTCCTTCAACAAAATCAATCTTATGCTCAACTCCTGCCTTCTTAATAAAGGGTAATCCAACCTCATAGGCTTCTCTGTTTACGTCAATGGCTATAACCTGCAACAATGATGCTTATATATGATAGAGTATAAAAACATATTCTTGGGTCTCAACTATCAGTTTAAGCTTTTGGTTGAGTTGGTCCTTAAACATGGTATCAAAGCCAGCGTGACACAAAGGTCACGGGTTCGAATCTCATCCGCCCCTCCTTCAAAGTGGAATTAATTCGCACCAGGTATGGGTGGGCTTGTGTTGCATCCACATTTCAAGCCCAAATGGCCTTTCATGTGAGGGGGAGTGATAGAGTATAAAAACATATTCTTGAGGCCCAGGAATATGTTTTTAGATAATGTTTTTATACTCTATCAATATATTCACATCAATTAGTTCTTAGCTGGAAGGAAATTATATCACCAAAATGACATACCTTGCCATCATCAGGGAGAGCAAGGGCAGTGGAAAGAAGCGAGTAGCCAGTAAAAACACCGATCTCCAATGTCCTTTTGGCATTCATAAGTTTTAACATGATTGATAGAAGTTGTGCTTCATCAGCAGGAACGTTCATTGTGTACCTAGAATACAGAGAAACTATGCACCCTTAAATTTTAACATAAATTTTAACATGATTGATAGAAGTTGTGCTTATACATGTTAGATTAAAGATGATAAAAGCTAGGTGAAAGAGCGAGTCAGCTAAGAGAAGCATGAATCTCCAATAGCTTGAAGTTAGTATATGTTATTGATGTAACCATTTCATACAATTGAGGAACCACACTCGATGTTATAACAAGAAGAATCACAAAGAGAACTTCTAAAACATAATAAGGTTCAGATTGATATACTAAGCAAGTAGGCAATCCCTAAGCATCAATCAACAAGACTCAAAATGATGGAAAATGTCAGCAATAAGTGTATATCAACAAGACTCAAAATGATATACGAATTTAATTTGCTCTTATTATACCCAATTCCAACCCTTTTTCTCTTTAAGCACTTCTCATATACATAAGCCATTTGATCTAATTCATAAGATTGTTGCGAACTTACATAATGTGACTACTCAAAGGAAAATTTCTAAGTATTCTAACCATTGTTGATAATTATTACACAAGGGTTACATGAACCTATTTGCTTCATTACAACAATGCAAGTATCCTCAATTCTTCCCCTTTATAAACTCTCTTAATTCATCATGAAACTTAGGAACCATGTATATCTACTTCTTTCAATTTAATCTATGGTCTCAGACCCACGAGGAAATCCCATTTTGTCATTATGATCGTTTATTAATGGCATTATTTTTTGTAAATTTGACAACAACAAATCTCAATCAGCATGACATTTTTGTAAATAAATCGACATTTGTAGAATCACATTAGATAAGCGTTTTTTTTATTATTATTATCGTGATGATAAACTTGTATTTTCTGAACTTCAGTTTACTCCCAAACCAATCATATTTGTCGACAAAAGTCAACAAAATATACACCAACCAACTAACCAAGGCCTTTACCCAAAGGAGCATAACATAACATATGAAATATGATCAGACTAGACGTGGCAGCAAAATTAAAACCTTGACAAATTGAATTAAATTCATCAATTAAAAAACATTCTTTTTTACTTGAAGCAAAATTAAATTTCAGATTCATCCACAACTACTTGACACTATATAAGCGTTACTACTCTTTTCTGTTCTGTTGTTCCTGTTGTGGTACAAAAGATTCCAAATACGAACAACAAAAAAGAATGGAGAAAGTATATCATATCGAGTTTTGACTTTTGAGGAGAGGTAAAAGAAAATGCAGTACATACAAATGAGGATATTTTTCAACAGTAGCATGTCGAATTTCCTTGAGTTGTTCATGCTCATTTGGGTATGCACTGGTTTCCAATATATACTGCAATAAAAAAAAGTCACATTTTCCTGAAAAATTATTATATTCCCATCGATTAATATAAATAAAACAAAAAAAATAAATAAGAATTGGCAAACCTGAAGAAGTTCTGGGCTATGAAGGATGTTTTTGGGCTTATCGATTGAGTGATTTGAATCCATGAAAACCTTGCTGCGTTTGCAACTTAATTGTTGCTGGATTTTTTTTGGGTAATTAATATTGAGGTTGGGTTAATTAGCTAACTCGGAAACTTATGAGATTAAAAAACCAATTATTTTCGTGTTATTGAAGCTTAGAAATTGACTCGGAGTATATAAAATTATAAATCCCGAGTTGTTTTGGTGCTATATTTTTATATGGAATAAACTACTTGTGTAAAAGTACTCCGCACCTAGTCTAGTAATTTGCGGAATATCATTCAGAATTTTAAATTAGTTACAGGTGGGATAAGATGGCCGTATGGGTGGTGACTCATAGTCATGACAAGCCCAAACCCAAAATAATGAGTTTTTAAGTATTTTGTTAGCCCAATATAACATGTTATTAGGGTTTGTTCTCATTGGCTGAACTCAGCAGAACTGAACTGAGCTGAATCGAGTAGAACTGAATTGAAATGAATATTTTATAAGAGAAGGAAATTAGGAGCTGAACTGAATTGAATTTCAACGTATGAGAACATACCCTTAGATCTGATAAAATTGATCCTTGTCTGATATAAATCAAAATATTTTATCCAAATTCGCCTTGAAATCATTTGACTTAGTTCGAAACAATAGAAAAGAGAATGATTTCTCACAATATTGTTAGCTAAAATAAATTTCTTAATTGCGTTAGTGTAAAAAAAAAAATCCTATAGTATTATCCATGTAGGATTGAATCATGTCTATTTTTTTACACTTCGTAATAGCTTAAACGACATTAGGTCTCTTTTCATAGTTATTAATTGACAAGTTCACAAATCACAACCCTTTATAATCGATCCTACGTGAACAACATTTGAGAAATTTGTTTTATAATCGATGCAAAATGGGAATTAATTTTCATTTCAACAATATTAAGGAAACTCGTTTATAAAAAAGGGAAGATAATTGAATACTAAAAAAAAACAATTTTACTGATTGTACATTTGTAACGTACATAGTAACATGGGGATATTCAGTCCTTTATTAGTACAATAACATTGATCAATGAACACAACATTGCAATAGAAAGTAAAGTATGTTTCAATATTAGTACTTGCGCCTGCAAAGCGTAACACCATCACCAATCGAAAGAAGGCTCGACTCAATTCTAGGGTCACTTGCAAGAAAGCTATTCAATTTTTTGATGGCTTCATGTCCATGTTTTTTAATGTATCCCATAATAGGGTCACTCTTGAATTTTTCATCATCGTCGGCCAAGGCGACCGAGCCAAACCAAAGAGTGTTGTCGAAGGCGATCACTCCTCCGACCTTAACAAGCTTAAGCAATGGCTCATGGTAGTTGATGTAGTTTTCCTTATCCGCATCAACAAATGCAAAATCAAAGGTCCCTTCCTTGCCCTGCATTTTTCATACTCAACTTTGTTATAAATTTATTAACAATAGTATTATTTGTCACGTAATTTAAAAAAATCAAGTTAGATTGGGCCTGTATCACAAAATGTTTGTTAAAAGTTAATTTGGGCCGTTTGACATTTGTGTTTTTAGAAAGTCAATTGGGCATAATTATTCTTTCTTATGATTCTTTTACTATATTTTAGGCTACAAATTGATACATTGGCCGGTTAGTCCCTCTGTTTTTGCAATTTTGAATATTTTATACTTCTTTCATTTCTATTTAGTTGACGCGTTTGATTTAGACACATATATTAAGGGGAGAAGAGAGAATGAAAAAAAAGGTGGGGTAGCATGTAAATGCAAGGTAAAAAAGTTACCCAAAAAGAAAACGTGTCAACAAAAAAAAATCCTAAAAAGGTTTACGTGTCAACTAAAAAGAAACGGAGGTTGTATCTCACAAATAATGCCCAAAGTTGCAAAAAAACATGAAACGGAAGTAGTACAATACTTAACTATTACTTGTATTATTACTACCTCTAGTTTGTATTATATACTTACAATTATACAATAAAATGGTCCAAGTGTAATATATAAATAGAGTAAAATAATATTATAGCGTACCTTGCTTATTAAATCATTTAAAAATGGCATGGCATTTCCTTCAACAAACTCAATTTTATGCTCAACTCCTGCCTTTTTAATGGCTGGTAATCCAACCTTGTATGCTTCCATGTCCGGGTCAACTGCTATAACCTGTAATTAAAATTACAAAATCAACTATTTTGAACTAAAATAATAAAATCAATTATATATAGTATTCAATTATGGAGTAGGCGATATTAATATAAGGAAAAAAGTATTTTTAACATTTTTTTTAAGAGAGCGATCAGTAATGAAAATCGATTACAGGATCAACTGAAATCGAGAGGGAAACTCTAACCACTAATATGATAAGGAATGAAAATGAAACTAACATGTTCGATTACAATTTTCTTGTAACAATTAATGTAAAGTCTATTAGATGATTAAAAACTTACTTTGCCATCTTCAGGAAGAGCGAGTGCAGTAGTAAGAAGTGAATAGCCAGTAAAAACACCAATTTCTAAGGTATTTTTGGCATTCATGAGCTTCAATAACATTGATAGGAATTGTGCTTCATCTGCCGATGCATTCATAATGCTCCTGAAAACGTACCATACCCAACGTAACAACTATTAGTTAGTCCCTCAATTTATTTTTATTTGTTTAATGAATATCACATTTTACTAATGTGAAAGCTTGAAAATTGCAAATTGTCATGTGTATGGTATTAAATACTAGTATAAGTGAACTGAATGAAACATTAATTTTAACATAAAACACATGCAAAATGCTAGTGATGGTGTACATTAGAAGATCCTTAGCTAGCAAAACTTAATTGCTTATTTCGATTTATTATTTCTGATGCATTAGAAGTTTCCATTGCAAGGAGGGTCGTCTCCTTTTGTAAGAGAATAGACTTTTCAATTATTACCACATGTAAGTGTCCCACATTGGTTGAAGAAGAGAGAGTTAATCACTTTATAAGGCTAAGGGGCTACTCTACTCGTATTTAACACCTTTCTAATGTTTTTACTTATCTTTGTGCACGATGCCTATATGACTCAATAATTGAGTTACAATTTTTTCCCTCGTATAATGAAAAAATTTACATGTGTGGGTGTGTGTTATAAGAGACAATTAAAAGTGATGAAGTGAAAAAAAATGGGTGCTTTATGAATGCGAAAAAAAATGTAAAGTTAATTTGGAGATATAGAGAAAGATTACATGTGTTTGTATTTCTCCAAAGTGGCATCTCTAATTTCCTTCAATTGTTCATGTTCATTAGGGTACGCACTTGTTTCCAATATGTACTGTCAAAAAAACAAATCAAACCCCAAATTATACATACATCAATGCAATAATATCAAATTTTCATAATTTATTTTTGTTTTTCAAGCTGTAAATTAAAATGCAAATAATAAACGATATAATAACAGAAATATCTCATTTACTTGTAGTAACTAACCTTTTCAAGAGCTGGGCTGTTAAGAATGGTGAACTCCTTGATTTTCTTCAAATCCATTGCTTAATTGGTTGGTTTAATTATGTGTATTTTTCTTAATTAATTAAGGATTAAAGGGAAGCAAAGGATATGTTTTAACAATGGTTTGATTTTCTTTGAGGCATGAAGCTATATTTATATAAACAGCCCAATAGATATTTATATTCCAAGAAATTCTGACAACGATTTATGATAGTATATAATGTTTTCGAATATAATACAAGCCACCATCAAAGACCATTGCTTAATTGGATGAGTAGTAGTAAAAGTTTGACAATTCTAAACACCAACCATATAATATGCCATACATTCATGTTTTTTTGAAATTGGACTTTTATATATCTTTATTTATAATAACAAACGAATTTCAAATTTGTGCTATGTTATTATTATGTCCATACATGGTCAAAGCGGTTGAAATGATTATTTTAAATAATACTCTGTACGATATATTAGGTTGAAAATTATGGTGTACATTATAAGTCCATTAATAATTATTGAACATGACACAGGCAATAATTATTGGGAAAATACAAGATAATCTGCCAGATAAATGAATTTTTGTTAATCTGATGACATTTTTGTAAATATATTATAAAAAGCAGGGTCATTTATTCAGTATTTTTGGTGAGCTGTCCAATTACTGTTTGCTTTTTTGCTTTTACTGTTTGGTGAGAAAATTACACATGTACCCCTCAACTAGTATATGAAAAGACGCGTATACCCCTCCACTGGTAATTGAAAAGACAATTATACCCCTTTGTTTATCTGAGGAATTGATTGGGTATTGCTCAATTTTATTTACCCGTCGCTGCTTATACTCGGTAGCAGTTTAAAATATATAGCAATGAGCAAAACAACCACAATCAACAACATTTGAATCACGATTCGAATCCCAATTTGAATTCATTATTAAATTATGTTAGGAATTGAATGAAATACTTTGTATATTACATGTCTCATTATATCTTCATTTTTTTTTTTTTTTTTTTTTTTTTTATCTTCAGTTTTTTGTTCCAAAGATTCAATAATTCGGTGGAGTAGCACATATTGCTCATGCCTCTTATTAGATCAGCCCATACAAATTAAAGCACAACAACAACGATATATAATTCCAAAATTATTCTAGTAATTTCATTTTTTAAAAATATACAAAGTCTTTGGTAATTTACATCAACTTTATTGTTGACTATTATTTACCCATGTAATTTATTTCCAATAGTTGTGACTGAAAAATAAAATGAAAAAGAGTTTTAACAATAAAAATTTGGAAAGTCCAAAAAGACGACGCTTAGTATATGGACTTAAACTTGCGAGTACGATATTTATGATTAAAATTTCTTTCTTGACAGCTTTAGAAGTAGTTGTAATTGTTTGACTCTTAGAGACTTGACTTGATTCACTTGAAGCATGAACATTTACTAGACATTTGATTATTTGAACAACACCAAACAACTTTAATGACAAAAATAGAGAGTAAAGGTAAAATATATAACAAAAATAGAGAGTAAAGGTAAAATACAGTCCCTAAACTTTTGTATTCGTGCATTTTTAGTCCCTGTCAACTTTTTTGTGCACTTTTGGTCCCTCCTCCAGTCCTCCACCACTTTAGTGTTTTCTAGGCAAAAGTTTAGGGACTAAGCCTAGTCACCAATAGTTTAGGGACCATGACTCATTATATTATTTTTTTTAAAAATTTTTTTATGCCAAAATTTTATTTAACACCCCCATTAATAACAATAAATAAATAAAAACAAGGAAAA